ATGAGTCCATGATGCTGGAGTTGTGTGATCTTGATGAGGTTCAACTCAAAGCTCTTGATAACATTAGAGTTCAAAAAGATAGAGTGGCACGAGCTTACAACAAAAGGGTGAAGCACAAATCATTTGAAGAGGGTGAGTTAGTATGGAAGTTGTACTTACCCATCGGGGACAAGGATCCGAAGTTTGGAAAATGGTCTCCAAATTGGCGTGGTCCTTTCATTGTCCACGCCACCCGTCCGAACGGGGCGTATCTTTTGAAGGATATTGATGGAGTATTACATGATCGTCTCATTAATGGAAAATATCTTAAACCTTATGTCCCTTCACTCTGGACGTGGGGTGTCAACAAGCTTGATTTGACTAAGGCATTTGGAGTGGCGTGGAGGTCATACAATGCCATGCCAATTTAAAGTCAGTTTTGTGGTTAAGTGTTTAGCCACAAGGATAGGCACGGGGGGAACTTGATTTCACTATTGATTGAGTAACGAACTAACAAGACGGAGGAAGAATGAAAATGGTAAATGGCTCTAGTTAGCATGATGTCTTCCTTTGAGTTGGATTAGTGGCCGAGCTAGGAGGGGAAGAGTTGCTTGCTCCCTGCCGCAAACATGGGATGAGGAGAGGGCAATAACGAAGATCCATTAAAAGTTCATGATCACATTGAGCCAAAATTGGGATGAGATATCATTTGTTCCTGAGCAAAGTGATCGAATTACACGCCCAAAGCGTCATTGAAATTGGGAAGTTGAATGGAGTTAAGTAGGTTTGCTTCCTAATTCATCTTGAAGATCTAGTAGGCGTGTATGGAGAGGCAGGTCATGTCGTCTTGATTAAAAGAGAAAAATTTGGCTAAGGCACGAGACAAGCTCTGACGTCTAAATCCATCTAGGCATGGAACAAGCCTCGATTCCAAGGGGATTCAGACCAGCTTTGATGTCAAGTCCCAGCTCGCCATGTTGGTTTGACGTGAAAACCAAATTTTGGCTAAGGAGTGGGCTAAACTTTGACGAAGAGTTCCATTTAGGTGTTTGGCTTGATCATTAAAAGCCAAAGTTTGGCTAAGTACGGGAGCCATCACATAATTTGAACCACATGGCTAGCCTAGGGCGTGAAAAGAACGTGGACGAAAAAAAAAAATTTAACAACGGCCATACGAGAATCAATCCATGAAATCCAAAAAATTTAAGAAAAAAACCAAAAGCCACAACAATGGCTAAACCGACTGTTCAAAATTATGAGCAAAAAAAAACAAAGATGCTTCAAGCGTCAAGGGTCTTGATGATCTCATCGAAGCTAGCCTTCAAATTGGCAAATTTGGACTTATTCTCGCGATCCGTCTGGATAGCCTTAGCTCGTTGAAGGGCAATTTCATTCGTAGGCATGAGAGATTCTTCTTTCGCACGAAGGGCACGGATCTTGGTTGCTGACTCATGAAGATCTCGTGCCAAATTTTCTTTTTGAATCCTCCCTCGAGTCTCTTCTTCTTCCAGACGTTGGAGCTCTGCCTTCAGTTCATCAATGCGTGCCTTGCGGGTAGCTTCCGTAGCTTGAAACGAGGCCACCTCGCTTGATGTAGACCTTCCTTTGGCCAACTCATCTTGAAGAGAGAAGTGGGTGGTGGCTTTAGTCTCCTCTTCACGTGCCAACTTGTCCCGAAGCTCGCGAGCACTCTCAATGGCGGCAAACCATGACTTGATCTCCGAGGAAGCGCTCTGCATTAGTAGCATCTGCTCCATATCTATCCCCGGGATCGGGAGGTGCAGCTCGAGCTTGCTAAGGAGGTCGAAGGCTTCTTGAGGCCACTTTGTGTCTAAAGCACCCATGGCTTCTTCAGGGGAGAGGGTAAGGAATTCACCTACTGCCGTCAGAGCACCCTTGATGGAGAAAGGAGAAGGATTTCTTGTGGGGACAGGAACCTCCGTAAGGAATTGACTCTCAAAGTTTTTCAGATATGCGAGGTTGTCATCAAGACTGGCCATGCCCTGTAAAAAAAAAAAGAGAAAGAGAAAGGAAAAAAGGGTGAAGTACACTATGACATGATTTGTAATTAGGAATAGACAGACGGAAAATAGATATACTTACCAAGTCAACAGGGCTAGTTGTTTGAGTAATAGGCGGATTCTCAACGAGGCCAGCTTGGCATCCTTCCTCGGCAGGAATGGTAGTTTCCCTCGGCGTGGTTTGCCTTCTTTCACCTGAATCCCCTAATTCGTCAGTAGCCTCTTCATTAGTTGGGGCAGAGACCAAGGTGTTTGCGAGCAAAAGCAAAGGCATTCTCGCTGGTGGTAAACAACTCAGACACGGCGACACCACTCGTGCCTTCTGAGGTCATGAGATGCCTAGTCACAAAATTCCCAAAGCCGAGTTTGTCAGGTGGGGTTGGAATGGTAGTTGGCTCCGTCGTAGGAACAACTATGGGGCTAGTTGCTTGGCTCGTGACGAGGTGAGGTGTGGAGCGAGCAGGCTCTTCGTGAGCCTCAGAATCGGTCGTAGAGAAGTTGGCCTCAGAGTCTGAATCTTCCACGCTAATTGGCTGGCGAGCCTTGTCACCAACTTCTTCGTAGTCCGCTGCGCTTGCATCATGGGATCCATCATCCAGCTCCACTGTTTGTGACTACACATGAAATGACGGAGAAAGATAAGAGAAGGTGGCATGAGTAGTATCACATTAAGAGTATGAGATGGGGCTTAACACTTACATGCTCACTCTCTTGAGGTTGAGTACGTTTTGGTGGCCTTGGTGAGGATTCATGTTCCTTAAGTGCTAAAAGCAAGAAAAATACGTCAAGAGGCCATATGCTTGTTAAAAAAAAAAAGACTAAGGGTGAACTAGGAAGACACTTACATAAACGACGTTTGACAGGAACTTTGGGGGTAGATGCTTGTTTTCCCTTGTCTTCGTGAGTTGATGCTTGACGTCCCGAGGGAATACTCACCGGTTTGTTTTGGAGTAAGCCTCGTGCGATCTGGACTGGATTACCATTGAAGAGGCCAAGGGCTTCTAGTTTGTTTGGGAGCAATTTTCCAAAGGTCGTGGAAGCGCGATTCTCTAGATATTTGAAGAAACTGAACTCGACGCTTGCTAAGAGTTTGTCTTGCCATAACTTCAAGTTGCGTGCTTCATCACTATGCAAGTTCCTGCGGCCAGTGGGATCCATGAGTTGAGGAGAATGTGGCATAGTCAAAGGCCATGACTGGACAAGACCGAATTGGCGAGTAACATAGTGTGGATTGTAGACTTCGGAGGTAGCAAACTTAGCGCCAATTGGGGTGAACACTAAATCTCGCGGCAGTAGCCATCTCTTCCATTGGCGTACAAATTTCTCGTAGGGTCGCGACGGACTTTGTGGTTTCTCCTTAAAAGGGGTGATGAAAGATTTAGACCCAAGGAGACGCTTTGAGAAAGGAGAAAACGTAGGTATCATGCTAAGTTGATAGAAGTATGAGAAGCAGTCAACAAAATCTCGTTCCAGTGGTCTGCCTTTGATGAGGTAGTGGCCGTATGAATCGGGGAGGGCATCTGGGTTAATCTTGTCTCGACTCTGAAGATAACCACGTCGTCCTGGGAAGTACGCGTAGATCCATAGGAGCACAATCCACAAAGGGCCTGAACCATTAGTAGTAGCACCCATGGAAATTTGATGATGAAGTGAATACATACCATGGTAAATATGGGCCAGTATAAAATCTGCAAAGTCACGACCACACCATCCCGCGGCAAGTCTATGAGAAAGATCACAGAAGGATTGGCGAGGTGAGCCTGAGCTGGGACAGATGATGAACTTGTAGAGCCAAAAGTGGATGAAAGCAGCCCGCTCTTCCTGTGTCACCGGAGTTTTTTCGTCAGAAGGTTGATATTGTTGACGAAATGCTTGGAACGACAATGGGGGGAAAAGTTGTGTGTTCTCCGGGAGCTCGAGGCGAGATTTGGTTGCTGATTCGAAGCCAAGACCAGTTAGAGCAGTGATGTCCATGAGAGTAATGGTCATGGCCCCAATTGGGAAGACAAAGCAGTTGGAGGCAGTAGACCAGAAGCATAAGGCCGCCTTGAAGAGGGCAAAGTCGGGTTCTCCAATTTCGGTGCAAAGGGATATCAGTCTCCAAATACCGGAACTCGTCCACAAGCGCGTTGTCGTCACATCATTCTGAAGCCTTTTGAACCATCCATTGAAATCTGGGTCTCTCTGAGGCCAGGAACCCACTGGTTTTTTAGAGCGCTTCTTGTGAACGAAAAACGTCGTGGAAGGAAGGTTCATCTTGTATAGCAGTCTCCCTTGACCGAGCGGGTAGCAATCAAGTCGGCTTATAGGGCCGCTTCGTGATTGGATCAGGTAAGGTCCTAATCTACCCATGCCATCTGCTTCGACTTGCAAGGTATGCATGAAGACCCCTTTATCGCGAGCGAGAAGGTCGTATTCCTGTTGGTAGACACGAGTAGCCTCCTCGACCTCAGCTTGATTAATCTCTTCTTCTTCTCCGTTTGACATCCTACAAAACCGCACAAGAAGGATGAGTTTTCCATATAAAAAAAATGAGAGTTTTTGGCCGCAGGCCATTATAGGTGGAAGGAGCTTGGATTTTCACCTCGATTTGATTGATGACTGTGTTTACTCCTGAGAACTCTATGGGGATTTGCGTGGATGAAGATGAGAAGAATGAAAAGGGGTGCTCTATTTATAGAGTTTATGGGGAGTTGATTTGGAGTATCTTTTCTGTTTTGGAAGAGGATTTGTTGGTAAAAGAGTCCAATAAGGAGAAGGAGACTTGAGTACTTATCCTTTTCAAGCAAGGAAAAAGGGTTAATTAAAAAAAAAAAGGGCAGATGTCTCTCGGTCAGTTGGCAGCCGAGGTGGACAAGGAAAGGAAGAGGGTTTTGACGTGGCTACGTAAAAGCAAGCTGTAAAAAAAAAACCCTTATAGTCTCGTATGTTGCCGCCGAAGACAAAGACCGGCGAATTCCCTTTGGATTGCTTGACGGCTAGGCGCTAGCACTGATAGAAAATTTTCATAGCCGTATATTGTTGGTGGTGAGTGAATTTAATTCACTAAACATGTGACCCAAATCTACTTGCCACTTGCCATCCACGTGAAGGAGAAAGGTGGTTAGGTAGCTAGGTGTGTACATGTCAAAGCTGATTTTGGCTAAGTAGTGAGACAGGGCATGTGTTGTTATTATATATGGTGTTAACTACTTAGTCCATAATTCTTATGCACTAAGTAGTTGGGGGGCATTTGTTTACACTAAAAAATAATCGTGTACCGCATTAATTGTCTTTATAAGGCCAGATCAACAATAACAATTAATGTTATTTAAACTGGGCCTACGATACTAGATTTTTAAACCCAAATGATTAGGCCTGGCATGACGCGCGAGAATAAACTAAGTCTGGTGCCTCATCGCGACAAGCCTCCTCGCGTCAAGCCTCCTCGCGTCAAGCCTCCTCGCGTCAAGCCTCCTCGCGTCAAGTTGGTAGACCGCCTTGTCGCGACAAACCGCCTTGTCTAAACCACATCGTGAGTCTACAAGATACGAGGGGAGAAGGTCACAAGATAAACGAAGTTCGAGCGCCAAGCCTCCTCGCGTCAAGCCACTTCGCGAGTTCGCCAGGCCACCTTGTCGCAAGTCCGCCAAGCCTCTACCAAGTCCAAGCGCCAAGCCTCCTCGCGTAAAGTTTGGTAGACCGCCTCGTCGCGACAAGCCTTGTCGCGCCATGTTTGATAAAGAAAAGGGCAAGTAACAAGACGACAGTTTCAAAAGGAAGAGCCGACGGTTTGATTGAGAAACTGTCAATTATTCCACGTTCAAGGACACGTCAGCCACGTCCGGGAAAGAAGGGAGGCGGTTTCTTTTTGGAAGTTACTCTCCAGAAAGTTTTCTACGACGGTTATCACCTCAGGCCTATAAATAGGAGGAAGAGTTGTCAAAGAAAGGCCCGCAAAAATCACCATTCGACACCACTTGTCAAGTTTTATCAATCTTATCTTTCCTCTGCAAATTTTTATCAGTAGTCGTAGATTTGGAGCTCTCTCAGAACCTCCATAGGAGTAGGAGTAACTTAATGTAGATCTGTCTCGAGAGTCGTGTAAACATCGAACACCCTCGTTCGAACTGTGTTTGAAGAGGTGTGAACCGTGTTTAGTGATCGTTGTCCAAAGAAGTCAAAGGTGCAATCAATTTATTTCAACGCTAGTTTTCTCGCCGGAAAACAAGAACAATGACGTACATCTTCCTAAGCAAAGAAAACACACCATAAGGCGGGTTTAGATAGCGTCACAACCCTCATGGGGTTGTGATTTTCACTTCCTCCTTCGCAGCCATTAGATCCACCCTCTCTCTTGGTTTTTCAAATTAACGGTTTTGATTAAATGAATGATATTTTTGGAAGAGAAAAACTTACCACAGAGGATCCTTTCTCATTTTCTATATAATCTGATTTCCAAAAAAAAAAGCTCTTCCTCTCTCCCCTCTCTCTCTTTCCTCTCCCGAGAACCCTAACTACTCTCTGTCTCTCCCTCCCGTTGTCGTCGCCGCCGCTGCCGCCGCCCCCTCCCGTCGCCACCGTCGTCGTCTTTCCCTCCCGTCGCCACCGCCACCATCTCTCCCTCCCTCCGCAGCCGTCGCGTCCTCCGCCTCCCACCATCGCAGCCCTCTCTCCTCCCTCCAACTCCTGTCACCGCCATCTCTCTCTCGCCGTCCTCCTCAGCCGCCGCCGCTAGGTAACAACCTCTCCCCTTCCTTCTCCTTTCCTCATTCCTTAATTTTTTTCCAGATCTGGGATTTTCCAGATTCCAGATCTTGTTTTTTTATGTTATTCTCTAGTGGTACTGATTTCTGGTACACTACCAGTGGTAGTGGTAGCGTACCAGTACTCAGTGGTAGCGGTACCAGTGAGTAGTGGTACTGATTTCTGTCTAGTGGTACGCTACTAGTGGTAGTGGTAGCGTACCACTACTCACTGGTAGCGGTACGAGTGGTATTTGTAGCGTACCACTACCACTAGTACGTACCACAACTACTGGTAGCATACCACTAGATGAAAATCAGTACCACTAGCACACTGACGGAGTGGTTTTTTTGCAGTTGGCCGGAGCGAGTCTGATTGGAGGATTTCACCGGAAAAGTTCGTCGGCCAGAGAAACTTTGGTGGTCGGAGTAAGAGGTTGCTGGAAAAGAAAGAGAGAGATATATAAGCGTATTAATTGTAGGATTTGAATTAAAAAAGTATTTAATCTGGGTTTTTAATTCCCAATCTGTAATTAATACAAAAATAAATAAATAATAAATTCTATTTTTTCATACCCAAATTGCCCTTGGATGTGAATCTCACATCCCTCTTAGGTAGGGATGGCAATTTCGACCTGACCCGTTTTACCCGACCTGTTTGACCTGTTTTGGGGCGTGGCGGGCATGGGTAGTCTCATCGACTCGACCTGCCCTGACCCGCCCCATTCTCGACCCATTCTTGTCTAAATCACATGTAATCTTAGTGAAATTACTGAGAATTTTCCTTTTATTGCATCATATTTTAGCTATAATAAAGTTGTAAATGAGTAAAAATCTCAATTTCTCCAATAAGTCAACTACAATTGTCATAATATTGTTTGTTTTCTTAGTCTTATAATAAAAATAACGAATATTTCTAATGTTTTTCATATAAATTGCATACCCATTGGGTCGACCTGCCCCGACCCGCAACCCGTGATCAATTACCCGACCTGGACCCGGGCGGGTCTGGGTACCAAGAAACCCGCCCCGGACCTGCCCCATTGCCATTCCTACTCTTAGGGGATGTGACCGTATCCCACCCCCCATAAGGCATAAACAACAACGAAAGAGATTAATTAATTAAGGAGAGAGAGAGAGAGCAGCCTTGACCTGACTATTGACCCTTGCCCTTTATAATACAACGCGATTCCCAAAATCCATTGGAAATTTTGGAGGAGAAGGGGTTTTGGTTTTTCTCCCGGCCGGCCCCCGGATTTGGATTTCTCCTCCTCCTCCTCCTCCTCTTTAATTTGACTTCTCCGTCTCCCTAGCTATATATACCACTTCCTTCTCAAACCTTCCATATCATTTATCAACCACCCTTCTTTCCTTAATTTCCTAGCTCCAACAACCAGAAAAAAATACAACAAGGAAGGAACTGCTAGACCAAAATGGAGATGCAACACCACTCTCCTCCGCCGGAGCCCATACCCGACCCGCCCAGCAGCACCCGGGTCGGCTACAGCGGCCCTCTAGTAACGACAACCACAAAAAAATCCAGCAGCAGGAAGAAGAGCGCCAGGTTCAAGGACCAATTAGTAGTTGACAACGACGACCAAGAGTACGTGGAGATCACGCTCGACATCCGCCACGACGCCGTTTCTGTCCACAACATCAAAGACGGGGACCCGGAGACCGCCTTGCTGGCCGGTCAGCTGGGGTCGGCGGCCGAGAGCAGCGCCAATCGGCCCCAGATCACGCTCGGGTCCCAGCTCTCGTTCCGGCTCCGGCAGGTCTCTCGGGAGCTGAAGCGGATGGCTTCCTCCAACCGGGGTTTCGACCGGGCCAAATCCGGCGCCGCCAGGGCGCTCAAGGGGCTCAAGTTCATGTCCAAGAACGTCGGCGGCGGCGGGTGGGTGGATGTCGAGAACCGGTTCGATGAGCTGGCCGTTGGTGGGTCGCTGCCCAGGACCCGGTTCGCCCAATGCATAGGTATGTTCGTTCGTTAACATTTACAAAATTGTTACCGCGTACGTAATTTGACTGCTAACAATGAGAATAAAGTTATTACGAAATTGTTACCGCGTACATCATCACTCCACCACTTCCGGCATTCTATCCAAATTCAGTACCTCCTACAACTTTTATTTGTCCCGTCAGTTTTATTTTTATTATAATGTATAGGTCTGTCTGAGTAGTCAATTTGTGACTTGTTTTTTTTTTCCTTTTATTTGTCTAGGGATTTACCTTTAATTTGCATATATATTCGGTTGCTTTGATATTTAGGGATGAAGGAGTCGGGGGCATTCGCCGGCGAGTTGTTCGACGCGCTGGCACGGAGACGGGGGATCACGTCGGCGACCATAAGCAAGGCGGAGCTGCATGAGTTCTGGGAGCAGATTAACGACCAGAGCTTCGATGCCAGGCTCCAGATTTTCTTTGACATGTAAGTGAAGATTAATCACTAATTAGTTATTTAATAAATTAATAGATAAACTAATACAAAGGGTTGGGGACGAAACTATTTCTGATTTTTTACTATTATTTAATGGTAGTTTTTATTGTTGAATACCTTTAAATTTTCTAACTAATAATAATTCTATTTTTGGATTGCAGGGTGGATAAAAATGCTGATGGCAGGATCACAGGAGAGGAGGTGAAAGAGGTAAAAATAAAAGTATTTTTAATCTGTGTGAAATAAATCAATCATAATTAATAAATAATTAGCTACGTACCGAATTTAATTGCTTTCACCCTTCCATTAATCATCATCTGATCTAAGTCATTTTGTTTGCAGATTATTTCTCTAAGTGCTTCTGCCAACAAGCTATCCAAGATTCAGGACCGAGCAGAAGAATACGCAGCCTTGATCATGGAGGAGTTGGACCCTGACAATCTGGGCTACATTGAGGTCCATTTTCAGCCCATTCTCATCCTTTTAAGGAGGCCCATCACACCGAACCCGACCATATGAATTTTCTTTTGTGGCTAACTGGCTAATGGCTATTGGCTATGCAGTTGTACAACTTGGAAACACTACTTCTCCAAGCCCCAGCCAAATCAACAAACCTAGGCACAGACAGTCGGGTCCTGAGCCAGATGTTGAGCCAGAAGCTGGTCCGAACTAAAGATGGCAACCCGATCAAGCGATGCTACAACGGGGTAGCCTACTTGGTCCAGGACAACTGGAAGAGGATCTGGATCGTGGCCCTGTGGGTAGCCATCTGCGCGGGTCTGTTCGCGTGGAAGTTCACCCAGTATAGGCGTCGGGCCGTGTTCGAGGTCATGGGCTACTGCGTCTCGGTGGCCAAAGGCGGGGCCGAGACAACCAAGTTCAACATGGCCCTGATCCTGCTGCCCATGTGCAGGAACACCATCACATGGCTCAGGAGCAGGGCCGTGCTGGGGAAGTTGGTCCCGTTCGACGACAACATCAACTTCCACAAAGTGGTCGCCGCGGGGATCGCGCTCGGGGTGGGTCTCCATGCCATCTCCCACCTCACGTGCGACTTCCCGAGGCTGCTCCGCGCCACGGACGAGGAGTACGAGCCCATGAAGCCCTTTTTCGGGGAGGACAGGCCAAATAACTACTGGTGGTTCGTGAAAGGAACCGAGGGCTGGACCGGCGTCGTCATGGTTCTGCTCATGGTTTTGGCTTACGTTTTGGCCCAGCCCTGGTTCCGTCGCAACCGGGTTCGTAACCTTCCGAAGCCTCTGAAGAGGTTGACTGGGTTCAATGCCTTTTGGTACTCGCATCACTTGTTTGTCCTTGTCTATGCCCTCTTCATCGTTCATGGTTACTATCTCTACCTATCCAAAGATTGGTACAAGAAAACGGTACGTAAAAAACTTCAACTCTTCAAGTCATCAACATACATATTCTTTCTGATATGATACTAATAAATGTTCACATCCATATATATATATTTTCAGACATGGATGTATGTCACGATTCCCATGGGATTGTATGCTTGCGAGCGTCTAGTTCGTGCTTTCAGATCTGAATACAAGTCAGTCAAGATTCTAAAGGTGAGAAATACGTACTAAATAATAATCTTCTCTTGTTGTTTAATTTCTACACATTTATCATTTCTTTCCTAGGATTTCTTATAATTAATACTTCTATATATAATATTTTAGGTTGCGGTGTACCCGGGAAATGTTCTCGCTCTCCAAATGTCCAAACCTCAAGGATTTCATTATAGCAGTGGACAATACGTGTTTGTCAATTGTGCGGTAGTTTCTCCCTTTGAATGGTGAGTTCGACTTTAGATGTCGTTCGTTGGGATTGTACGATTGCCCCATAACAATATATAGTTTAGTGCGACATGTTAATGATTTTGTTTTTGGTCCACAGGCATCCATTTTCAATCACTTCAGCACCAGGAGATGATTACCTCAGCATCCACATCCGCACACTGGGAGATTGGACAGGGCAGCTCAAATCCGTCTTTGCCAAGGTAAAATTACTAATTAATTAATGACACGTACGTTGTCAATGTAGTAGTAACCTTCCTTCCATGATCACTCTGTTTTCAATTCCTCGATCTACTTCAGGTCTGCCAACCACCATCCGCAAATCAAAGCGGGCTCTTGAGATCCGACCCATCATCATCATCCAGGCCCAGAATGCCCAAACTCCTTTTAGACGGGCCGTACGGGGCCCCGGCCCAAGACTACAAAAACTACGACGTCCTTCTCCTAGTAGGATTAGGAATCGGCGCCACCCCTTTAATCAGCATCGTCAAGGACGTCCTCAACAACATCAAGCAGGCCGGGAAAGAAATCGAAGAAGGAGGAGCAATGAAGGAGAACAATGACCACAAAAGGAATCAACCTTTCGCGACTCAGAAGGCTTACTTTTATTGGGTGACCCGAGAGCAGGGCTCGTTCGAGTGGTTCCGCGGTGTGATGAACGAGGTGGCAGATCACGACCGTGACAAGGTGATCGAGCTCCATAACTACTGCACCAGCGTGTACGAGGAAGGGGATGCTCGGTCCGCTCTGATCACGATGTTGCAGTCGATCCAGCACGCCAAGAGCGGGGTTGATGTGGTCTCGGACACGAGGGTGAAGACCCATTTCGCCCGCCCCGACTGGAGGAAGGTGTTCAAGCGGGTTGCCATGAACCATCCAGACCAGAGAGTCGGTGAGTGATAGTAACTATTTTTTTTTTTTTTTTTTGTTAATCTGATTCGATCCAATCCTAAGGCTCAATTTTTACTTTCTTGTTTTTTTATTGTGGGTGGGTTAATTTGACAGGGGTGTTTTATTGCGGGGCGCCTGGATTGACTGGAGAGTTGAGGAAATGGGCTCGGGAATTTTCCAGGAAGACGTCTACCAAGTTTGATTTCCATAAGGAGAACTTTTAGTTACTAAGAGGGTGGATGTGTCTATATTCTTTCTTGCAATCCCTAATTCTAGTGCTACATATTCTTTCTATTTGTTGAGTGTTGTTGAACGTATGGTATCATATTATTTTATTTTTCTCCATTTTCATTAGTACGTTTGTGATTGAAAAATAGTGAAGCAAAAGCTTGTTTTTATATATGCTAGGGCTCGTTTGGAGAATTAGAGTCTAAATCTCTAGATTCTAAACAATCCAAAGATTTGAACTCTCCGGATTGTTGAAAAAAGATTTGAAAATGTTCATTGTTTGATAACTGCGATTGTTAACATACAATAAAAAAGAAATTATATTTGTTTATAAAATGGCATATTTATGCTTAACCAAAATAATTAAATTGGCTCAAAAAAAATATTGAAAAATTTATCAATATGGATATTTAGTGGGATAAATTAAAAAAAGGAAGAGATAGAGTAAGAGAGAGAAAACCTCTAAAATCAAAATGTAGAATCTCTCTAATTAGGAGAGATTTGATATCTCTAGATTTTAGAGATTTAAAATCTCTAAACCTACAATCCACGATACAAAAAGTAGCAAAAAAACATAACATTTTGCCAAATCTATGGATTCAATAAATCCATCATCCAAATCTTGTTCTCCAAACGACCCCTATGATCCTAAGCTCCTGTTTACCGTTATAAGCGTGAGTTTTTGAGAAAATAAGATATTTTGTTTAGATTTTACTTGTCATTATTGTAGATAATTATATCACATATGTGAAGTATCATACAAAATTGTGTGAGCTGAATCCCCTGATGAAATCATGATTGAGTCAACGATTATGATAATCGGTGTTTTATTTGAACTTTTAGGAAAGGTCTTTCATCATAAGGTGATCGCGACTCGGCGAGTAGGATTTTGTTCCCCTATTTTGCTTGTGCATATATAAGAACTAAATAGCTCCACTTTGAACACTTTGGGAACTAGTATAGAACTATGACATATGTTTATTTGAGTGTTATGTGGAAATAAAGGATTGTTTGCTTATTGGTGAGTTTAGAGTTTTTTAATTTTATTATTTTGATGAATTTATTACGTTATGGATTTGAAAGGGTTTATTGTTTGTTTAGTTGATTTCTATCATGGGTTTATAACTTTTTGCACCATGTCGCCCACAAATTTTTCTTCCATCAACCAAATCTCGAATAAAATTGAGATTTGCAATTCTATATACCTCAAGGATTTGTGTTCCAATTTTTACCCCAACAAACAATTAAACTTATATATATAATTTAAGGTTTAAATATATAATGTTCTCATTACATTCATCATCAACTATATTCGTACTATACAACATATTTTGTTGTTCTATTTTGCAATTTTGATTATGTGTTAAAGGCTAGTTTTTATCACTTGTGATAGACTTTTGTGTTTTCTTGTATGGGTTTTTTCATTTTTGTTTGTATTGTTTTGCATTGTTCTTTCCTTCGCTTTCACATGTAACACCCTAACCAGGCCGGGTACTACTTTTACTAAAATTCCCTTGATAAATAAAATACTCAAATCTTAAATTGCAGTGGGAAAAATTTTACTAAATAAAATACTGAAAACACACACTTGTAGTTCAAAGCAATGCCCTAACACATGGGCAAACTCAATACTTAAAATCTCAAAATGATCTCCAGTCTATACTCATAATCATAAATGTAAATAACTAATAATCTCTAATGTTGTTGCTACTGAAAACCTTGACTAAGCATCCTCTGTGACGCTTATACTGCTCTCCTCTAGCTGGCAGCCCTCGAACTCGCTGCTCACTAACAACTCCTCTAGCTCTTCAAACTGGTGAGTGATATGGGGTCAGTCTACGCCCTTAAATTTTAAAAATCTAGTACTTGAGTATTTTACTTCAGATACGTAACTTAATCTGGTGGGAGTTGTTCGTACTTCCACTCTTAAACTCCTAACACTTAAGAATTTATGGGAGTTACTGTTACTCACCATCCTTAAAGCGCAAAACTCGACTTAAATACTTGACAGACACGGGGATCCCTCGCTAGCTAGTCCGGTTGCCAACTCATACGTATGAGAAGCCATCAAGGCTTTCCTTAAACTTAAACTTATCGTCGAAGGCTCTTCTTCCACTATTCTCAAGAGCATAACTACTGCTCATCTTAAAAACTTCAAGAGCATAACTGCTACTATGTCTCAAAGATCTCAAAAGCATAAATGCTGCTCTATCTGAAACTCACAAATGGCAACGGACTGGCGCTAGCGACTAAAAACACTTAAAACGACTTCACCTTCTTGAAGGTGAAGTACTTCTTAAAACAAAAGGACTTGTTCTTAACTTTAACAATCACTCATAAATGTAAAGCTTTAAAGCAAACATCACACATTCACTATAAACCACAACTTTAACAAGCACACATCATCAATCATGAGCATTAACAACCATAGCAACACTTCACAAAAATACTGAAAGACTCTAATACTTGAAAGAATAAGTAAGGCGTAGAATTTACCCTCTTATACTCACTTGACTATATAGTTAAAATCCATCGGCTTCATGAACTAGGTATTCCAAAAGGTGTCATGGAATAGCTTAGAATTTAATTGACGTTGCTCCCCCATCAACTCCATTCGTCTCAGTCGTCAAAAATCAACCACAACTAATTGCCCAAACCATGTTAAAGCACCTCCCACATATGTACATATTCATTTAGCCATTTCACTTGTTATTCCTCTACGAACTAACTAAATGCGGGTAGTGTAGGTAACTTACCCAAAACCATTCGCCTTCAATTTTCGGTTCCCCGTACTGCATCTCCAGAGATGGCCGCTGCTACTTCCCAGGTGTGGTTACCGGTAACAATTGTGATTTCTCGGTGGAATATAGAGAGAGGGGGCACGTTTTGGATTTGGCCCTGCTCGAATCCAAATTGATCCTCTCTCAATGTCTGCTCACCCAATTGACTCCTTGTTCCGCCCCTCCTAAACAGGTGTGAACAGCAATAATGGTCGCCCATCTCGACCGCCCTGGCCCGCTACTCAATCGCCTTCTTGTCCCGCCTCCTACTTGCTTACGCAGGCAGCTGTCATAGTAGAGGTGTGTGTCGAGAGATTAATCGAGGCTCCGTAATGAGTCCGGCGAGGCGAGGCACGAGATGACCAGCTAGGCTCCGAGATGAGTCCGACGAGGCGAGGCACGAGATGACCGTCCCCCACACTCGTCCCCCATCCGGATTCCCTATCGACCTGCCCTCCTGCTTGCTTAAGCACACAGGTGCCGTAGTGGAAGAGATAATCCGAGCGAACGGTTACGTGGGGACGGGGAGAAAGAGTTTGTGAGGCCGCTTCTGCGCTCATGAGGCCGAGTGGGGAATCGGATTAGGTTTGGCATAAATTTTAATTAGCTCAGAGGGGTGTTTTTGGCATTTCGTAAATCACGGGTGAGTTTAACCCGAAACTCAACTATCGCCCGTAGCTTACATCGATTTATGTCGTTGAACTGAGAGTTCGCATTTTTAGTCCTCATCGATATTATGATGAAATTTGACAAATTTCCCCGAGGGTATGATAGTCATTTTGACTTTTGGCAAGATCAGGGTGTAACATTTCCTCCACCCTTATAAAATTTCGTCCTCGAAATTTAGACTGTGCTAGACACCTTGCATTTGATAGTGCTTGCCTCGAATGAGATATCCCATTTCCCCCCTCCTTAAGAAAAATTTTGAACTCAAATTTGTTCATCGCGACAACCTAAGGTTTGACTTGTGGAAATCCTTCTACTACTGGGATGTATACTTCCTTTACTCGGTATGACCTTGAGCTATGAACCCTTTCATCCAATTCGTGTGGTTCTTGGCCAACTACTCACCCACTTTTCATAAATCTCTTGCTCAAGCTAGTTACTTGCTTAATGCGTCTATGGCACTATGGCACTCTCCCTTCTTAAATGCCTCTGATGTTGTACGTAGGTCATATTGTTCTCAACTATTTGACTTGGGTCTCTACTTAGGATTCCTTAAGAACTTAATGGAAATAAATTATTAGCCAGCCCTATTCAAGTCATGACTCGTCGTAACTCCAGCTCATAACAGGCCCAGGCCTTGAACTTCATCCTCCCTATCTTGACTGTTGACGACTCTCCTTGGTATAGAATTTTTGACCTACTTAATGATTAACTCCGATGATGGTTCCTAGGTATCGCTTCTTCTCCCTTTATAGGCGTCGTTATTCTCCTCTTTGATAATTCCACTTCATACGCACTCTTGATGCTTGATTCACCATATATGGTGCCTTTAGCATGAGAAAATCCCTTACATATCCCTATTGGTGTTCTTAATACCCCTTTCAACCCTAAGGTTACTAATAGCGGCTTAACCTCCATCTTGTTATATCGTAAAACTCTTTTAACTTAAGCTCATTTGTGGTTGACCACGTAGATCACCTAGGTCCTTGTACCTTCTAACTTTGAATCTCTTACTTTCTTCCAAGATTCTTCGTCTCTCCCTTTAGACATCAACTAAATGGTCATCTCCTCAATACTTCTTGTTTAACCCTGAAACCTCACACTACTGCTCTTACTTTCTATATGCCTTAAAGGCATCATTTGCATCTTTCTCTAGCTTGCTAACAACTTTATAACTCCCTTCAAGAGTCATGACCTTTCCTTTGGATTACTAGTTCACTCTTGGCGCCTAACTTAGCACTTCCTTATCGCCGCCTGAATTTGAAAATCTCGTACTATCCAGTATGCTACTCTTAGACCCTAGCTAAAATTCCTCTTACGGTTTCCCCGTCCAATAGAGTCTTACTTGAGAGATTGACACATTTCACCAGCATAGGCGATCTTGGTTTCACTTTGTGGTATTCTATCAGGTTCCCTAAACTTATAGCCCTCTTACTTCGTTACTCTTGACTCTTCTTCTTGATGTTCCTTTCTCGGTTTAGATGTTTATTGTTCGCAACATAGTCTTGACGACCTTGATTCCACTTATGTACTTTGGCCTATAAGTTTTACCCTTCCACTATTCTTGACGACCTTGATTCCACCTTAAAATTGGCTGAAATTTCTTGATGGACTTCCTATGGATAACTCGTTCTCCGTTGGTAGTCAACCTAATGCTTCCTGGTAGTCTTCTGTATTCCTGGTTCGACATTTCCTAACTATTTTCCTCCACGCACACTCATTGAACTCGAGTCACTTACACATATTCCCACTCCTTTATCAAGAACTTCCATATCCTTCCTTGACTTCCTACACTCTACGACATCTCTAATGCCACTTCACAGTTATGGGCTTACGGCTTCCCAAAGTCCAGTACTACTTCTAGATTGCTTGCCAATCATTAATCAATTTTAACGATAAATTCGCACAAAGAAGATTGCAAATCCCACCTGAGACTTGACCAATTGACTTATTGAAATCTCGTCAAACTTCCTCTAGTCTTCTTGCTCTTTCCTAGTATTGTACGGAAACTCTCTTTATTACGACCGTTGAGACTTCTCCTCGATGACGTAGTTTATCTACAAGGGTTCCTTTATCGTCATTATGTAAATAACCATGACTCCTCTCCGCCTTGACCTTTTGACTTCTTGACGCCCTTTCATACCCCATGTAACCTACTTATTTCCTCTTTTGATTCATTTATACTACCCTAGCTTTTCTTAAAGTCTAAACTTGTCACTGTTTTGTAATAACATCGAGTCATCGACGACTAAAACTAGTTGAGGGACTTCTCGTGGTACCTCTTGGTTTCTTGACTCGTTTCCTCCTCGCCACTACTTAGGGTCAAGGACCCTGAAATCCTCCCACCATTGTAGCTACTGACATCTAGTCATTGTAGCTCTTTCTTCGGAGATTCATAATTCTCCTATTTATTTATCTTAACCTATTAGATCGTTTGCTAGCAGCTAAGGAGAAAAATCCCCGTAGTGCTCCTTCAACTTCTTCGAATCCTCGTACTTATACCTCAAATACCCCTTTGAGATTGGCTCACTTTAAATTTGGACTAAAGTTATCTATCTTAATATGATTAGAGTAGACTGAAGAATCTATAAACTCTTAAAAGAAGATACTTGACTCATTTTCCTTTCCTTTAAAAATGAGACCGATATTCCAGTATTCCTTGGAGACCAATGAACAAAGGAAGACCGGCTCTGATACCAAAATGTAACACCCTAACCCGGACGGGTACTACTTTTACTAAAATTTCCTTGATAAATAAAATACTCAAATATTAAATTGCAACGGGAGAAATTTTACTAAATAAAATACTGAAAACACACACTTGTAGTTCAAAGCAACGCCCTAACACATGGGCAAACTCAATACTTAAAATCTCAAAATGATCTTCAGTCTATACTCATAACCATAAATGTAAATAACTAATAATCTCTAATGTTGGTGCTACTGAAAACCTTGACTAAGCATCCTCCGCTACGCTTATACTGCTCTCCTCTAGCTGGCTGCCCTAATTCGCTGCTCACAAACTGCTCCTCTAGCTCTTCAAACTGGTGAGTGAGATGGGGTCATTCTACGCCCTTACGTTTTAAAAATCTAGTACTTGAGTATTTTACTTCATATACATAACTTAAACTAGTGGGAGTTGTTCGTACTTCCACTCTTAAAATTCCTAACTCTTAAAACTGTATGGGAGTTACTGTTACTATCCATTCTTAAAGCGCAAAACTCGACTTAAATACTTGACTGACATGGGGATCCCTCACTAGCTAGTATGGTTGCCAACTCATACGTATGAGAAGCCATCAAGGCTTTCCTTAAACTTAAACTTATCGTCGAAGGCTCTTCTTCCACTATTCTCAAGAGCATAACTACTGCTCATCTTAAAAATTTCAAGAGCATAACTGCTGCTATGTATCAAAGATCTCAAGAGAATAACTGCTGCTCTATTTGAAACTCTTAAATGGCAACGGACTGGCGCTAGCGACTAAAAACACTTAAAACGACTTCACCTTCTTGAAGGTGAAGTACTTCATAAAACAAAAGGACTTGTTCTTAACTTTAACAATCCCTCATAAACGTAAAGCTTTAAAGCAAACATCACACATTCACTATAAACCACAACTCAAACAAGCACATATCATCAATCATGAGCATAAACAACCATAGCAACAATTCACAAAAATACTGAAAACTCTAATACTTGAAAGAATACGCAAGGCGTAGAATTTACCCCATTTACATTCACCTGACTATATAGTTAAAATTCATCAGCTTCATGAACTAGGTATTCAAAAGGTGTCATGGAACAACTTAGCATTTAATCGACGTTGCTACCCCATCAACTCCATTCGTCTCAGTCGTCAAAAATCAACCACAACAAATTGCCCAAGCCATGTTAAAGCACCTCCCACATATGTACATATTCACTTAACCATTTCCCTTGTTATTCCTCTACGAACTAACTAAATGCGGGTAGTGTAGGTAACCTACCCAAAACCATTCGCCTTCATTTTCTAGTTCCCCGTACTGGCCGCCGCTACTTCCCAGGTGTGGTTGCAGGTAACAATTGTGATTTCTCGGTGGAATATATAGAGAGGGGACACGTTTTTTATTTGGCCCTGCTCGAATCCAAATTGATCCTCTCCCACTATCCGCTCGCTCAATCGAATCCGTGTTGCGCCCCTCCTAAACAGGTGTGAAAAGCAATAATGGTCGCCCATCTCGACCTCCCTGACCCGCTACTCAATCGCCTCCTTGTCCCGCTTCCTGCTTGCTTAAGCAGGCAGCTGTCATAGTAGAGAGGAGTGTCGAGAGATTAATCGAGGCTCCGTGATGAGTCCGGCGAGGCGGGGAACGAGATGACCGTCCACCACACTCGTTCACCACACTCGTCCCCCATCCGAATTCCCTCTCGACCTGCCCTACTGCTTGCTTAAGCACACAGGTGCCGTAGTGGAAGAGATAATCCGAGCGAACGGTTACGTGGGGACGGGGAGGAAGAGTTTGGGCGGACGCTTCGGCGCTCATGAGGCCGAGTGGCAAATCGGATTAGGTTTGGCATAACTTTTAATTAGCTCAGAGGGGTATTTTTGGCATTTCGTAAATCACGGGTGAGTTTAACCCGAAACTCAACTATCGCCCGTAGCTTACTCGATTTATTTCGTTGAACTGAGAGTTCGCATTTTTAGTCCTCATCGATATTATGATGAAATTTGACAAATTTCCCCGAGGGTATGATAGTCATTTTGACTTTTGGCAAGATCAGGGTGTAACATTTCCTCCACCCTTATAAAATTTTGTACTTGAAATTTAGACTGTGCTAGACACCTTGCATTTGATAGTGCTTGCCTCGACTGAGATATCACATTTCCCCCCTCCTTAAGAAAAATTTTAACCTCAAATTTGTTCATCGCGACAACCTAAGGTTTCACTTGTGGAAATCCTTCTACTACTGGGATGTATACTTCCTTTACCCGTTATGACCTTGAGCTATGAACCCTTTCCTCCAATTCGTGTGGTTCTTGGCCAACTAATCACCCACTTTTCATAAATCTCTTGCTCAAGCTAGTTACTTGCTTAATGCGTCTATGGCACTATGGCACTCTCCCTTCTTAAATGCCTCTGATGTTGTACGTAGGTCATATTGTTCTCAACTATTTGACTTGGGTCTCTACTTAGGATTCCTTAAGAACTTAATGGAAATAAATTATTAGCCAGCCCTATTCAAGTCATGACTCGTCGTAACTCCAGCTCATAACAGGCCCAGGCCTTGAACTTCATCCTCCCTATCTTGACTGTTGACGACTCTCCTTGGTATAGAATTTTTGACCTACTTAATGATTAACTCCGATGATGGTTCCTAGGTATCACTTCTTCTCCCTTTATAGGCGTCGTTATTCTCCTCTTTGATAATTCCACTTCATACGCACTCTTGATGCCTGATTCACCATATATGGTGCCTTTAGCATGAGAAAATCCCTTACATATCCCTATTGGTGTTCTTAATACCCCTTTCAACCCTAAGGTTACTAATAGCGGCTTAACCTCCATCTTGTTATATCGTAAAACTCTTTTAACTTAAGCTCATTTGTGGTTGACCACGTAGATCACCTAGGTCCTTGTACCTTCTAACTTTGAATCTCTTACTTTCTTCCAAGATTCTTCGTCTCTCCCTTTAGACATCAACTAAATGGTCATCTCCTCAATACTTCTTGTTTAACCCTGAAACCTCACACTACTACTCTTACTTTCTATATGCCTTAAAGGCATCATTTGCATCTTTCTCTAGCTTGCTAACAACTTTATAACTCCCTTCAAGAGTCATGACCTTTCCTTTGGCTTACTAGTTCACTCTTGGCGCCTAACTTAGCACTTCCTTATCGCCGCCTGAATTTGAAACTCTCGTACTATCCATTATGCTACTCTTAGACCCTAGCTAAAATTCCTCTTACGATTTCCCCGTCCAATAGAGTCTTACTTGAGAGATTGACACATTTCACCAGCATAGGCGATCTTGGTTTCACTTTGTGGTATTCTATCAGGTTCCCTAAACTTATAGCCCTCTTACTTCGTTACTCGTGACTCTTCTTCTTGATGTTCCTTTCTCGGTTTAGATGTCCCTTGTTCGCAACATAGTCCTCTAGGTTCCTATATCCTCTTCTCACTTATGTACTTTGGCCTATAAGGTTTACCCTTCCACTATTTTTGACGACCTTGATTGCACCTTAAAATTGGCCGAAATTTCTTGATGGACTTCCTATGGATAACTCGTTCTCCGTTGGTAGTCAACCTAATGCTTCCTGGTAGTCTTCTGTATTCCTGGTTCGACATTTCCTAACTATTTTCCTCCACGCACACTCCTTGAACTCTAGTCACTTACACATATTCCCACTCCTTTATCAAGAACTTCCATATCCTTCCTTGACTTCCTACACTCTACGACATCTCTAATGCCACTTCACAGTTATGGGATTACGGCTTCCCAAAGTCCAGTACCACTTCTAGATTGCTTGCCAATCATTAATCAATTTTAACGATAAATTCGCACAAAGAAACTTGCAAATCCCACCCGAGACTTGTCCAATTGACTTATTGAAATCTCGTCAAACTTCCTCTAGTCTTCTTGCTCTTTCCTAGTATTGTACGCAAAATCTCTTTATTACGACCGTTGAGACTTCTCCTCGAATTCTCTAACATCTATTGTAACTTCCAATAAACGTTCTACTTCCTTGTTTATACCCGGTTGGTTGAATGACTTACTCCTGCAGCTGGTTCCGAGACTCCAGCTCTTAACCCTCTAGTTCCAACTTATTGCAGAGGTTCCTCCTTCTGTCACTCCTCATGTACCCTAGCTGGCTAGGTGCTCCCTCCATTTAGGATAGGAAAATCCCATAAAAGATCATCACGAACTCTTGCATTCCCCTTTCAATGGTCCCAACGACCTCCGGACCTTTCATGATCTGGGTAGTTTGTAGAGTCTCTCATATTCCAATCCATCCTCTTTCTTACTCAACATTTTTCACTCGCACATTGTTATTCTTGATCCAAGATCGTCCTCTACCTCGATCATCTTGACTCTTGTCTTGTTCCTTTTAAAGGCTTGCTACCAGCCTAATTCCCCAGGGTCATGTACCCTCTTCTCGATGACGTAGTTTATCTACAAGGGTTCCTTTATCGTCATTATGTAAATGACCATGACTCCTCTCCGCCTTGACCTTTTGACTTCTTGACGCCCTTTCATACCCCATGTAACCTACTTATTTCCTCTTTTGATTCATTTATACTACCCTAGCTTTTCTTAAATTCTAAACTTGTCACTGTTTTGTAATAACATCGAGCCATCGACGACTAAAACTAGTTGCGGGACTTCTCGTGGTACCTCTTGGTTTCTTGACTCGTTTCCTCCTCGCCACTACTTAGGGTCAAGGACCCTGAAATCCTCCCACCATTGTAGCTACTGACATCTAGTCATTGTAGCTCTTTCTTTGGAGATTCATAGTTCTCCTATTTATTTATCTTAACCTATTAGATCGTTTGCTAGCGGCTATGTAGAAAAATCCCCGTAGTGCTCCTTCAACTTCTTCGATCCTCGTACTTATACCTCAAATACCCCTTTGAGATTGGCTCACTTTAAATTTGGACTAAAGTTATCTATCTTAATACGATTAGAGTAGACTGAAGAATCTATAAACTCTTAAAAGAAGATACTTGACTCATTTTCCTTTCCTTTGAAACTGAGATCGATATTCCAGTATTCCTTGGAGACCAATGAACAAAGGAAGATCGGCTCTGATACCAAAATGTAACACCCTAACCCAGACGGGTACTACTTTTACTAAAACTTCCTTGATAAATAAAATACTCAAATATTAAATTGCAGCGGGAGAAATTTTACTAAATAAAATACTGAAAACACACACTTGTAGTTCAAAGCAACGCCCTAACACATGGGCAAACTCAATACTTAAAATCTCAAAATGATCTTCAGTCTACACTCATAACCATAATGTAAATAACTAATAATCTCTAATGTTGTTGCTACTGAAAACCTTGACTAAGCATCCTCCGCTACGCTTATACTGCTCTCCTCTAGCTGGCTGCCCTCGAACTCGCTGCTCACTAACTGCTCCTCTAGCTCTTCAAACTGGTGAGTGAGATGGGTCATTCTACGCCCTTACGTTTTAAAAATCTAGTACTTGAGTATTTTACTTCAGATACATAACTTAAACTAGTGAGAGTTGTTCGTACTTCCACTCTTAATACTCCTAACTCTTAAAACTGTATGGGAGTTACTGTTACTCTCCATTCTTAAAGCGCAAAACTCGACTTAAATACTTGACTGACATGGGGATCCCTCACTAGCTAGTCTGGTTGCCAACTCATACGTATGAGAAGTCATCAAGGCTTTCCTTAAACTTAAACTTATCGTCGAAGGCTCTTCTTCCACTATTCTCAAGAGCATAACTACTGCTCATCTTAAAAATTTCAAGAGCATAACTGCTGCTATGTCTCAAAGATCTCAAGAGAATAACTGCTGCTCTATCTGAAACTCTCAAATGGCAACGGACTGGCGCTAGCGACTAAAAACACTTAAAACGACTTCACCTTCTTGAAGGTGAAGTACTTCTTAAAACAAAAGGACTTGTTCTTAACTTTAACAATCACTCATAAACGTAAAGCTTTAAAGCAAACATCACACATTCACTATAAACCACGACTCAAACAAGCACATATCATCAATCATGAGCATAAACAACCATAGCAACAATTCACAAAAATACTGAAAACTCTAATACTTGAAAGAATACGTAATGCGTAGAATTTACCCCATTTACATTCACCTGACTATATAGTTAAAATCCATCGGCTTCATGAACTAGGTATTCCAAAAGGTGTCATGGAACAACTTAGCATTTAATCGACGTTGCTCCCCCATCAACTCCATTCGTCTCAATCGTCAAAAATCAACCACAACAAATTGCCCAAGCCATGTTAAAGCTCCTCCCACATATGTACATATTCACTTAACCATTTCACTTGTTATTCCTCTACGAACTAACTAAATGCGGGTAGTGTAGGTAACCTACCCGAAACCATTCGCCTTCATTTTCTGGTTCCCTGTACTGGCCGCCGCTACTTCCCAGGTGTGGTTGCCGGTAACAATTGTGATTTCTTGGTGGAATATATAGAGAGGGGACACGTTTTGGATTTGGCACTGCTCGATCAAATTGATCCTCTCCCACTATCCGCTCGCTCAATCGACTCCGTGTTCCGCCCCTCCTAAACAGGTGTGAACGCAATAATGGTCGCCCATCTCGACCTCCCTGACCCGCTACTCAATCGCCTCCTTGTCCTTGTCCCGCTTGCTTAAGCAGGCAGCTGTCATAGTAGAGAAGTGTGTCGAGAGATTAATCGAGGCTCCGTGATGAGTCCGGCGAGGCACGAGATGACCGTCCACCACAATCGGCCCCCATCCTGATTCCCTCTCGACCTGCCCTCCTACTTTCTTAAGCACACAGGTGTCGTAGTGGAAGAGAGAATCTGAGCGAACGGTTACGTGGGGATGGGGAGGAAGAGTTTGGGCGGCCACTTCGGCTCTCATGAAGCCGAGTGGGGAATCAGATTAGGTTTGGCTTAACTTTTAATTAGCTCAGAGGGGTATTTTTGGCATTTCGTAAATCACGGGTGAGTTTAACCCGACACTCAACTATCGCCCGTAGCTTACTCGATTTATGTCGTTGAACCGAGAGTTCGCATTTTTAGTCCTCATCGATATTACGATGAAATTTGACAAATTTTCCCGATGGTATGATAGTCATTTTGACTTTTGGCAAGATCAGGGTGTAACATTTCCTCCACCCTTGTAAAAATTTCGTCCCCGAAATTTAAACTATGCTAAACACCTTGCATTTGATAGTGCTTGCCCCGACTGATATATCACAACACATTTGAAAGCAATCATAATGGTTTATCACTCTCAGACGGGGTATTCATGGGGAAGTGCTTTCTCTTTCTCACTATCTGAGTAAGTTTCGTGTCTTTTTGTTACTCGGTGCTTTCACTAAGTTGTCCATCTTATGGCAAAGTATGCTCTTTCATCAGTATTCTGGTTGCATACAAATATTATTTTTTATTATTATATGCTATGTATTTTTGTTGTCTAGCAATGCCCCGGGAGATTATCTTACTGGCAATTTGGGTGGCAAATCCATCAACCAAATCCTACAAGCAAACCACTATGGATGGCAACGGGTCGGATAAAGGATAGACAGTGACTATCTATTATCCTACCCTAACTAGTTTAGTTTTTTTTCCATACCCATACCCATACCTATACGTATCCAATCCATGGATAGTAAATTAAAATTAGGTCCATCCTGGTCGGATTCCTGGTATCCATGGATAGTAATTTTTCTTTATCTTTTTGACTATTGTGTTACTAGAAACAAGTATACTAATATTATAGAAGTGAAAATTTATAAATGACAAATCACTGATACTAAGAGAAATAACAGAAAAAGGAATCCTAGTTCATGAGATGCTAGAAATATACAAGAAGTATGGAATTTGTTAAATTAAAAATTATGATTATACTAAGAGAAATAACAGAAAAAGGAATCCTAGTTCATGAGATGCTAGAAATATGCAAGAAGTACGGAATTGGTTAAATTAAAAATAATGATTTATACAAAATATTGTATATGCATGTATAATCCGGGGTCGAATTAAATGGTGAGAAAACCATATCCACTCATTATCTGTCATATTCGGGTTTGAATTTTACCGATACAACCTAAATTTTTTTACTGTATTCGGGTTTTACTCCTCCCAATCAAATCAAATTCAAAAGGATGTCCATAATTATCGATTTTTTTGTCAATCTCTACAAAGTACAAACCAGAAACCACCTCTAAACACAATACTTTATAAGCTCTCAAATCAAATGTGACTGTGATTCTCTCTCACATGCAAGCAAGAATCCATCCGTGTTAATGACAATTAAAATTGCAGAGCATGAATTGAAATCTAAGAGATTTGATTAATTAAGGTTTTGGAAATTGATACAATGAGAATCTCCAGCACTCAATTATCACATCTCGATTATTGATAAAAGCGTGCAGCTTAATTTTATTCCTTAATGATGGTCCTCAGTGAGTCGGTGGCAAAAATTCTGAGTTCCCCATAAATCGTAATATTCTTTCTAATTAGTAGTTACACAGACTAGCCCTCAGGGTTAACAGATGTTATCAAACTAGCACATGTTATCATTTATTAGTCAAAAAATATTGACAGAAATTAATATTATAGTACCTAAAAAAAATCCTGATTTAATACCTATGCTTTTAAAATTTTATAAATAAGTCTAACTTTTATGTGGAGTTAACACTATCTAAAGAAAAAGGGTAAATCTAATACCCAATTATTGAAGCAATATTTATACTCTACCCAATTTATCAAACAAATACTCGAATTAATATATATTTCAACTATATCCTACCCAAAACAAATAGATTTATTAGGATTTGGATAAAATTATTCTCTGGTAGTAGTTTGAGTACGAGAAAATAGGGAAAAGGTTATAGTTCATGTGATTCAAACATGTGAGGCCATTTTATTAATGAAGAGGTTCATCATTAGCCTATATAAATGTGTTGTCATATTTCAAACATAGTTATAATTATATAGAATGAAATAAAAATTTACTGGTTGTATTGGTTTTCAAACTTGCATTTGATTTTACTAGTTGCAATTGCAAGTGCTGAAAAGCATTTTCAGTTTTGGTTACGTAAAGAACTAGTTTGTAAATCGAATAGGTGATCAACTCGTGAATAATTGTCTAGTATAATATATTGAAAGTAATTTGTTGATCGTTGTAGACACGAAGTTTGGTTTTACAAATTTTCCATAATATGAAAACATGTGGTGGTGTTGTTGTAACTCGTACTAGTTGGATATTTTCTTATTTAAATTTTGTGTTTATTTTTAATTATTATTTTAATTTTTTAAAAGAGGTCACCCTTAATTTTTTTAATTATTATTTTAATGTGTTGCCACTTATTTTTTTATTTAGATAAGGGTACATAGATTGATTTTTTGTTATTAGGAGCTACTGAAGTGATTCGAACATAAAACCTCCAGGTTTGAGAGTAGTGGTATTACCACTAGACCAAGCCTTATTCACGGTCCGCCACTGACTATTATTATCTCCATATTATCATTAGCCAATTTTTTTTATATATTGTTTTGAAGTGTTTTGCCAAAGATAACTTTAACCCATAAGTAAAATTTTGAGTACTGAGAAGTGAGATTTGATAGAATTTTTTAATAAGGATGATGTAATAGTTTTTTTCAGTGTTATTAAAGCCGAGCTGAGCCGCTCGGCCCGACCGGTTAAACCGCCATCCGGTCATAAAATCGGCTCGAAACAGTCTAAAAACCGCTCCGGTTTTAGGTAGCGGTTGGCGAGCGGTCGAGGCGGTTAACCACTCAAGCCGATCGAGCCGCTCGTCCGGTTTTTGCCATTCGGCCGTTAAGTTTAATTCAAACAATTGCAGAAAATTGAAAATTGGAATAAACCAAAAACGTCGGGCTCTCAAACTGAACCTTTATTTCCATTTCACAATTTCGAAGGAAAGATCCGAGCTCTGATTAAGAAATGTCCATTATTTATACTGATAACATTTATTAGGTACCGATTCTCTAACAGTTTTTAAATGGTCTAATGTCGGTTGAATCACTAAAGTGCGAACCATTCGCATTACCGGGTCATGCTCCGGTTCGATCCTGATAACATTGGTTTTTATCATTAGGTGCTAGTTAAGATATCAAAATTTAAAAATTAGAATGTACAAATATTCTCATTGCTTAAAATGAATCCCAAATTATTGGTGAGCATCAAATACAACCATAATCCTCCTAAAATAAATCCCTTTGTCTTCCTCTTTATCCCTCTATGTTAGGAATTTAAAAACCTAAATAGTACGATTGGACCTAAGGTATATGTTACCAGCCAAGAAAATTCTTTCCAATAATCCAAAGCATCAAATGCTTATATCGATTGTAAGCATCCTACTGTGATTTTTAACTAAGGAACTTAAGAAAATATAAACCACAGTAAGGTGTGATGGCAACCCGCCCCAATCGACTCATACCAATATGAAAAGTGAAATAGCTCAATCTGTTATGCTATATATCATTGGTGCTTTAATGTATAATTTGAAGTTGTATCATAATGTTAAATGTATAAGTTCAGATGGTACTATAAAGGAATTTGTACCCTTAGGTTATGGTACAACTTCAAGTTGTACTATCACATAAAGGTACAAGTTCAAGTTGTACAATAAAAGAATTTGTACAAAAGAGTATAGGTACAATATGAAGTTGTACCATAACGTTAAGGTACAACTTCAAGTTGTACCATATAAGCAAAACCTATAGCACCAATGTTATATAGTATTGTAAAATTCATCATTATATGATAGTTAGTTGTAATAATTCGAGTTGCTAACAGACGATTAATTATGGATTAAATATCACTTTCTTACGTGTCTCTCAAATGAAAGCCAACTCATGGGCTTAAAGTTTGCAAAGGCATGTCATATATTGTGGGCAAAATACACTTGTAAAGCCATAACTTTGACGTTTTTGACAAATATAGCCATTTTTTTAAATACACAAATATAGCCATATTTTAAAACTAGTTTGACAAATTTAGCTATTTTCGTTAAAAACTTTAACGTCATCAGTGACTCCGTTAGCGTTAGTAAACTAAATGTGATGCTGAGGTGGATGTCATCTCGGCTGACACATCATCTCCAACAAGACACACTCATGCCACCTAAACGCCACATCATATTTTAATAAAAAAAATACATTAATTTATTTTAGTAAAAATATTCATAAATAACTCGCCCCTGCCACCGCCTGCATAAAAAATCCCCTTTTCCTGAATAATCTCTAATTTCCCATTGAGCTTTACAAGCCTTTCCCCCAATCTCGTCATTCTTTTGCTCTCCAACTACTACCGGGACAACTACTCTTTCTTCATTTATTAGGGTGTGCGGTCTGATCCAGACCAGACCATATATACGGTCTATGGTCCAGACTGAGAGACTAAAGTATAGACCACAGACTATATGGTCCGGTCCAGATCACGCATGTGCGGTTTGGTCTGATCTGGTCCAGATAAACCACACTCAACGAAAAATGAATAATTTGTTTAGTCAACCACACAAAAAATTGAACCAATAACCAAGAAAAATAATTGTTATTTGCCTTAAAACATTAATCCTAACATGCATGAATAATTTTGATACTCTAAATCGTAGTACATAACAAAGATAAAAAGTAAAAGCATCCCAACTTGCACCATAACGTCATAAACATTAACATAATGTCATATGCAGGCACGATTATCTCTACTCAATTAAATGTGGTTGTGAATGAAGGAGGGACGAGATTCACAAACCTAAGGTTGAGACTTGACTGTCGTTGTGGGAGTTGGGAGAGTGGTCGAATGGGCTGTTAACACGTATTGACAATTCAGTTGGGTCCACGGTTTGGTCCGGTAAACCGCGGTCTAGACCAGACCAGACCAAGAGATCAAAACATAAAATAATACAGACCATGGACCAGACCAGACCATACTTAACGGTCTACAGTCCTGACCAAACTGTGCGGTACGGTTTGGACCACGGTTTTTCTAACGGTCTGGTCTATTTTCCCATCCCTATCATTTACATGCATGGGTTAAGATTAGGTGACCTGGGGGGGGGGTCCTTAGTCACTTGGCTAAGTTGATCTCAATCCTTCAAGCTCATTAAAATCCAATGGATCCAATTAATTCAATTTAATGAAGGGTAATATAGTAATTGAATGGTTCATTGTTATTTTATTTTTTTATAATTAATAATTAAAAAAGACTCTGCATGTCAGCCCTATACTCCCGCCGCAAAAATTTCTTGCTGTCCAGGATGCCCGCCGTAGCCGACCATCCTCCCCGCCGTCCATGATTTTCCGGCGGCACCTTTTTTCTACATTCCATCCATTTTTGAGTCCCAGAGAGCCACCATTTCCATTTTTGACGCGTCCCAGAGAGAGAGAGAGAGGTCAACTTTCCGGCGACGGCGGGTGAGTTTTTCGGCGACCAGATACGGTGGTGGATGATTTTCCGGCAACAGTGTTGAATTCGTGATGTTTGTCGACCTATACTGTAATGTTTATAAATTCAGTTTGTATTGTTTGTACCAATTCAGTTTGTATCGTTTATCATTCCACTTTGTTATTTTAGTCTGTTGTGTTTGTAATGTTTACATGACTAATTTGTATATATTGTAATTTGTAATGTTTTATTTATTTATTTTGTATACTTTGTATTTATTGGTTTGTAATTCCAGTTTATCGATTTGTATTATAAGTAGTGGTATTTTGTACGGTTAGTATGGTTTGTACTATTTGTCAGTTTATTTTCTAATGTTTGTAAGATTTGTTATTTTGTAATGTTTGTTGGTTTTTTTGTAATGTTTGTAAACTTTGTTATTTTTTTTTCACCATGTTTATCATTTTTACAAAACATACAAACCATACAAATCACACTGGAATTATGTATAAAAATGGGTTAATATTTTCGTATGGCCTGAACTTTGACCAAAATAAACATCCTGGGCAATCTTTTCGATCTATAACATCCTGGCCCGAACTATACACCAAAATAAACAATTTGGCCAAACCCAATGTTTGACCGTTAACTTGGACGGTCAAACGCGTTGAATGGTCAATGCGCCACGTCACTGCCAAGCCAGAAGATCTGATAAATATTTAATTTTTTTTTGTTTTTTATTTTTGGTTTAACTAAGGTATTAGATGATTTTTTTTTAATTTATAATAATTTAAAATTAGGGAATGTGTGGAATTGTGAATTATTTTTAATATTTTATGCTGACTTGGCAGTGACATGGCGCGTTGACTAACGGTCAACGTGTTTGACCTTCCAAGTTAACGGTCAAATGTCGGATCTGGCCAAATTGTTTATTTTGGTGTATAGTTCGGGCCAGGATGTTATAGATCGAAAAGATTGGTCATGATGTTTATTTTGGTCAAAGTTCAGGCCATACGAAAATATTAACCCTATAAAAATACTAACAATATAAACCGACAACACTTGCATTACAAATCATTGTTCTTCCCTCTCTCTCCACCGTTGTTGTCGTCGTCAACTCTCTTTCCACCGCCGCCGCCGCTGACTCTCTCTACTACCGTTGCCACCTCTCTCTCTCCATCACCGCACCGCCTCTCTCTCCTCCACCGTGCCGACGCTCTCTCTGTCTCCTCCACCATCGTCTCTTTTTCTCCTCTGTTTTCCGACGACGCGACTAGATCTACTTTCTCGCTCTCCAAGGCTGTTGCCTCTCTCTCCTCCAGCGTAGCGCCGCCGCCATCTCTCTCTCCATCGACATCATCGCCTTTCTCTTTTTCTCTCTCTCCTCCATCGGCGTTGCGATCTCTTTCCTCCGCCATGGCTCTCTCTCTCTCTCTCTCTGGACATCGCAGCAAAAAAGGGAAGAGGAGGAGACGGTTGCAGAGGGGGAAAAATCAATAATAATAATAAATAAAACAAAACTTGAAAATAAGAGTTAATAACTTATTGATAATGCCAAAACTACCCTTCTCATTTAATAATAATTTATTGATTTATTTGGACCTTCAGATCAATCCAAAGGTTGAGGGGGGCTTAGTCAAGTGACTAAGGACCCTCCCCCCTTAGTCACCAGATCCGCATTCCTACATGCATATCAAGGGAACCCATTTCCTTTCTTTATCACCCTCAAATCAACAAGCCAAATGAACAAAAAAAATTTGATTATGGAGATTTAAAAATCAAAACTCAGAAAGTTGTCGATCCACTTCCTCCGCCTTCGTTAAAACCCTTCGAAGACCCAGACCTACCTTTACCGTAGCCATTGGGATGGGGATCGGTGGTCGGTGGCGCCGTGGGCTTTATCGAGATGGGGAAAGGGTATCAGAGGTTGACTGTGCCGTGGGCTTTTATTAGGACTGGGGAAAGGGGATCGTGGGCGGCGGGGCTGTGGGCTTCGTCGGGTTGGGGAAAGGGATGTGGGTCGTCGGCGTTGGGGTCATCAAAGGGGCAACATGAAGAATTCGATGAAGAAGGTCGTCAGCGCGGCGAGTTGCAGATAACTCTCCAGCGACAGCAGGGGCATCGAGCTGTACTTTGACAACCAACGAGGGAGGAGATTGAAGTGAAATTGTCGAAGGAAAAAATGAGGTTTTCGGGCAACAAGAATGACAAACGCCAAGACAGGGGAAGTAGAGGTTTTCGCGATGAAGGCACATATTTTGTTTAAAGATTTATTTGTTTATTTTTTCATTTAATTATAATAAGAAAATAACCATTTTCACCTGGTCGAAAAATGTCATGTTAGCAAAAAAGCGTTAGTCTAGTCAACATCTTTATAATTCCGTTAAATTTATGGAACGAATGACTATTTTAGTGTATTTTGAAAAAGTTGACTATTATTGTCACAAAATGCAAAACTATGGCTATTCAAGTGTATTTTGACTACATTGTGTTTTAATCAACTGTAAATATTGAGAGTCATGGAGATTCGAATATGTAGCCACTTGACCAACTATCTCTGATACCATATTAAAGGCCAATATATATTATAATAATTCGAGTTGCTGAGAAAAAGTTAATTATGAATCATATATCACTCTCTTACTGTTATACCAATTATTATGAACGGTCGTTCAAAATCTAAATTTCAGCTACTAATTTGCTTGCTATGAAACGTCAATGATCAAATTAATGTTATTTTGAAGGATTGAAATACCGTGCGGGAGGTCTTTATAGAAAAAGTCACGATAGGGTATTTATGCTAAAATCATGGTTTAACTATGGTACAACCATTTCGTCCCACTAAATACCTCATACTAATTTTGCTCCCAGTAAATTTTTTTTTTTTTCGTCGAACTATCGATACGATTGTTAATCGTGAATTATTTCTAATTCTCCCAAAAATTCATTTACATGCCAATTGCCATGCAACCAAAATAATTAAAAAAAGGGAAGGAATTCCAATGCAGCAAAGCTTCACTATTTGGCTCTTTGCTTTTCATTCCACCCCACAAAAGCACCAATACCAAGAAGCTGAACAGCATTCATTTCTCCTTTCCCCCATTTCCCCCTTTCCTTTCATTTTGCTTACTCTCTTTCTCTTTTCCAGGTACTTCCAACTTTACTATTTCTCTGTGCTCTTCTTCTGCTTCTTAAGCAATTCCATCCTTTCATTCATCCTCAGCCTCCCCCCATAGATCTCCCTCTGTAAAAGAAACAATTGAGAAGAAGCAGAGGTCTCTCTTTCTCTCTCTCTCTCTCTCTCTCTGATGGCGGTCACAGAAGGAAACACGGAGCCTCCCAAACCAGAGCCTCCTAAAACAGAGTGCCCTCCAGGTACCCAAGAAGTTGTTTCAGAAGAGAAGGAAAATACCCCAAACCCTCCTCCTCCAGAGCCAGCTCTGAAATATAAGGTAGGAAAAGAAGACAAAGAAATCGAACTCTGCTTTCTTTTTTGTCGAATATCAATTTCATGCATTTTCTTCCCCCTGTTTCAGACATGGGTTTTGAAGGTCTCCGTTCACTGCGAAGGATGCAAAAGGAAAGTTAAGAAGATCCTCAACAACATCGACGGTACTCTTTTTATCCCTTTGCTCTGCTCTTCAATACTCTGTTCTACTCATTTGCTCTGTTCTTCACTACTCTGTTCTACCTTTATGTGGGGGGAAAATCGGTCTTGTAATATTGCAGGGGTTTATACGACGGACGTTGATTTGAGGCAGCAAAAGGTGACAGTGATCGGTAATGTCGAGGGGGAGACTCTGATTAGGAAACTGGTGAAGACCGGGAAGCACGCCGAGCTCTGGCCGGAATCCAACCCCGGCGAACAGAAGAAAAAGAAGAAGAAATCGAAGAAAGAGAAAGAAAAGCAGGAAGACAGCCACGAAGAAGGGGGAGAAAACGAGAAACCGCAAGTTCTTCAACTTCAGGATCCTTCTAAAACAGGCGAAAACGGCGCGGTGAGAGTTGCGGTTCAGTTCAAGGAGATGAAGATTGAGACGGTGAAGCAGTGTCCGCCGATGGGTTCAATGGCGGAGCCTCCGGTAGCGGAGAAGAGAGTCGGGTTCGAAGGAGGCGACGGTGGCGCCGCCGAGACAAGCGGCGGCGCTGCGAAGAAGAAAAAGAAGAAGAGAAAAGGTAGCGGCGGCGGAAATGGAAACGGCGGTGGAGAGCAAGGTGAGCAACAGCAGCAGCAGCCCTGCGACGCGCCGCCGCGCGGTGGATCTCCTCCTCCTCCCGCTCACGGCGACGGCGGTGGTGGTCAAACGCAAGTGCATGTGCCGTACCCGGGGACCAATCACCACGCGCCACATCATCACCCGCATCAATTCCCTCCGCCCCACCATTACTACGCGCCAACGGTGTACGCGGTGAGCTACAATACGGCGTACCCCAGCACAAGCTACGGTGCGTCCTATTACGCCCCTCCACAATATTCCTACGCGCACGCCCACTCGCCGTCGGATCCGGGCTACTCGTATCGTCCGTCCGATTCGTTTGAAATCTTCAGCGACGAAAATCCCAATGCCTGCTCAGTTATGTAAAAATAAAAATGTGGGATGGAGGGGTGAAAAATGTTGTGTTTTTTTCATAATTATTGTTGTCACCCCAATTAGTCTTTTTTTCGCCCAGATACATATATACAACTTGTATCGTCTTCTTCCTTCATATTTCCCCAATTAGGCCGTCGGGAAACTCCATCTAAAACCTACTGGAAATCGCCCCATCCATTAACCCGTATGAAATCGCCTACCCCTTTCGATTGTCCAAACCCTTCAGAAATTGACTTCTCTCCAACTCTCCTTGTTCATTCCACCGATCATGGAAGGCGAAGAGGTTGACGGTGGAGGAGGGCACCACGTCGACAATCCCAACCGAGGTGGCCGAAGGAGAGGCATAGGTTTTTCCCAATCCCAACCGAGGTGGCCGAAGGAGAGGCATAGGTTTTTCCCAAATTAGACCTAGGCTTGTTTCCGTTTGTTTTGCCTGTTGGGAAATTGCTTGTTGGTCTATTTTGGAACGTTGGGAAAATTGTACGTTGAAAAGCAAATTGGGACGAGAATAAGTCCCATTTATTTATTTTTGCTGTATACAGGCGTGCGCGCCCGAATTAGGCTTTCTATCCAATCCGGTTTAGAGACAGTATATTGGGAAATATTTTTTCAACCGCTACATTTCAGATAATTTTTTTTTAAATCACAATAATTATGGAAAAAACCCAAAAATGTTTACATGTTGTTTTATGTTAAGTTTTAAGTCTTATATTTTCTTGTATGGGGTTTTTTTTTTAAGGAGTTTACAACTTGGGCCAATATTTTTGTAATGGGATTATGGGAAGTGCCGAAGTGGTAGAACTGTAAAATTTGTGGGGTGAAATTAGGGGTTTTCTTTTTGTTATCTTTGTTTTATTGTAATTTGTGTTACTAAGGTTAAATTATTAGTGAATAACTCTTCTTCCGAAGTTTTAGATATTTTGAATAAATTATATAAGATTCACGAATAACTACTTTCAACAACTCATTACTTAAATGAAATGATTTTTCATCATAATGATGTTTAATACGTATTTGAATTCTCATGAGTTATGATGCTTTAAAAGATCAATATTTGTCCTATGTATGCAATATGATATCGTATATTAAGTTTATAAACTGAATTTTGTTGAATAAGGCATGCAATTAAAAAATGGTAAAATGAGTGAGACCGTTTACAATATTGAAATGGGATGAGAATTGAGAAGGCAAATTTTGGGGAAGGCAAATGTACAAAATCTTTATGCTATTGTCGTTATGCAAAACATGCAAACAAAGGAATTGCAACATCTTTGAGGTGTAGCTTTTTGGAAAGCATGAATGAATATTCAAACTTTACATATCGCTCTTTTTCAATTACCAAAAGCACTTTGCTTCAAATTGGACAAGCTAAGTTAAGATTTGAGTCGGTTATCTCAATCCGTAAAGGTTGGTCGATTTTATTAGTATTTTTAGTTGAAAAGGGAAGATGGATGCCAATTGAACTTGCATGTATTCACGATAGCCCAATCTGATCGAAGTAGGTAAAATTTGACATGAAGTAGGTAAACAATTGCATGCAATCAATCAACCATCCATCTACATAAACAATTAAACAATTGCATGCAATCAATCAACCATAACTACTCAAACAAATCACACATACAAATTACAATCGAGAGTTGAATTGGAGTAAGGTTATGCCTAGCCTTTAATTTGGAGAGGAAGACTCTGTTCACCAGACTACAGATGGTGAGCTGATGCCTAATGAGAACCTGATGAACTCCCATACAAAATCAAAACAAACAAAATAACATTAGCATTCATCGATTGATAAAGACCTAGCTCATGAACCTGGAGAAATGAAGGCAAAATTTTGTGATTAGGTCGATTGTGCTCTGAGTAGAGTGAAGGTAATGGGTTTAGGGAAGAAGTTAGGCTAACCAGTCACCTAGAAATTAAGTGAGAGGTTACAATATATACGAGAAGAAAGAAGAAGCAGTAGGTGCAATAGAATACGAAAGGAAATGGGAGAAAGAACTTATCTCAGCGTGTGATATCACGTCGATTTCCCCCAACAGCGGCAAATCGAAGATTGCAGAGGGCAATTTAGGGTTCTGCACTCTGTTCCCCGACGAAATTGCCGGCAAAACTAGCCTCCAATTGATTGCCTAATGGCAATCATAGTTGTATAAATAGCCTGGATTGGGAGGAATTCGAGGGGAATCAGCGAGATTTTTGAGCTGAATGAATGTTTGGGGGATTCGATGGCGAGAAAATCGCTAGGGATCTAGGGTTTGGGGAAGGTCTCGAAGGGGATGAGAGTCAGATGGGGATGCCGAGAAGAAATGAGGATTAGGGGTTTTCACTGTCCTTCGTTTGGTTTATATACGACGTCTAAAATGACGTCTTTTATGATACAGGGCGGAGTGGATACCACGAAGTCCGTCGCCACCCATCACCCGCTATTCACGGGTTTCGGGCACACCCCAATCTGCCAAATACCCACGCCAGAAGAGTATTTGGGTCACTATCTGGGCGGGTTTCGGGTGGATACCAGGCAGGTTCGGTCAGGAATGCCAAGCCTAGAACCGATTGATTGCAGTTGAGTGGAAGGGAAATGTGGCCAGGTGGCAGAAAACTAGGGGATTTTTCCAGAAATAGCACCTCTAAAAAAAATTACAAAAATAGCACACATTCGGAAAAAAAATTACACTAATAGCACCCTTTTTAATGGACCTCACCTTAGAGGTGCGTTTTATATTTAAACCGCACCCTAAGGGTGCGTTTTACACATAAACCGCACCTCCAAGGTGTGTTCCATATTCCTGGACCAAAACCGCATCTTGGCCAAGCGGTTTTAGGTCTGACCTACAGAAACCGCTTGGCCGAGGTGCGGTTTTGGCCTGACCTATCAAAATCGCATAATGAAGGTGCGGTTTGTTTCTCCCAAACGAAAACCCGCACCCCCAAGGTACGATTTTGCCATACAAACCGCACCTTAGAGGTGCGGTTTTGGTCAATCAATTTCCGACAAGCCATGCAGAATAACAGACATAACAGACGTGGGTCTGCATGGGCCTGCATGCAGAATAACAGACCCAAGACGATGTTCAATATGCAAAGTTCCAGGACATGATAAACGAAGGTGTCCAGGACCGATTGGTCCGCAAAATCCGGGTGCTGATGTGCCGGACTCAGCTAATGCGACATAGTTTGCTTTAATATTTTTTTCAAGCTAGTTGAGACTCTTACTTTGCAAGAAATTGTGTATTGTTGATTGAACGAAATGTGTATTCTGTATTGTATCTTTTATCGTTCTTTGGCGAAGGGAATGAGGGATTAGCTTGGGAACTTGGCCGTATTGTTGATTGAACGAATTGGGATTATATCAAGATAAAAGGAATAGTTCCAAGGGGATAGAAATAAAACCAAATTGAAACAACACTCAATTAAATAAACTAAGACAATATGAATAGTTCTTTGTTCATTGAAATAAAAACCAAATTGAAACAACAATCAATTCGATAAACTAAGAGAATAGGAATAGTTCCAAGTACATAGAAATTAAATTCAACTCAAAATATAACTCAAGGAAGTCCACGAGCTTCACCGGAACCCACGGTTTTCTTGCTCCTTGTACGACGACCGACGAGAGTAACAACAAGTGGTTGCGGTGGCAAGTTTCGAACTCGGGCCGAGGTAGTTTGGCGCTCGTCGGTGCTGTGTCGGCGGGGAATCGGCACTTTCGGGGTCGAGCGGGGGACATCTACGCTCATACGGTGAGGAGTAGGAGGCCACTGCTGATGAGGGCGAGTCAATGGGTTGAATTCGTGGTGCGCCGTCGTGGAGGAACCATCATGCCAAGTACCCGATGATGTTTGGCAGGGAGATGGGGGGTAGACCGGGCGGGAATCGTAGTATGATGTGCTCCTTGGCGGGAAGATGGGGGGTAGACCGGGCGGGAATCGTAGTATGCTCCTTGGCGAGGATCGTTGTATGAGATCGGGGTGGGACTCTGAGGGGTTTGATGGTAGGTCGAGCGAGGATCGTAGTATGAGCCTTGGCGGGGAGTTTGGGTGGAACTCGGGCCGGCACCTTGGGGAGAACTCGGGCCGGCACCTTGGGAGGAACTCAGCCGACACCTTGGGTCACAACCAATGGGGGCGGCACTTTCCACCCGGGATATGGCATTACGTCGGGCACGTTGGGCCTTTCCCGAACCCTCTTGCTCTTCTTCCTCTCGTATGGTGGTGGGGATCGGGGACATCAACTTGTACCGGAGGTGGCAGGGGTGCGGGCATGGGCGGATATCTACGATGATCCCGACCCTGAGCTCTGATACAGCCAAGAAGACTGTTTGCCATCCTCTTCATGAAGCTCACATCTTCATTTCCCAGCTCAATTCTCCCGGTGGTCATGTCTTTAATTCGCTCGATCCCATCAGCCTAAATCACAAAAAAATAAGTTAGAAAAAAATTTAGGAACCAAGTAATACATTTAATTATATAGAGCGGAATATACTTACTAATACACCATCGGCCGCACCCTCCGGAGTCATGTAACGAACCGATGTTTGCCAATATCGATCCAAGTATGGGTCATGATACCCCATTAGACCCACTCGAGTACCTTGCCGACCATCTCGACCATGAAAGGCCCTTTGACAATCGGGGACCTCCAACGGAATGCACTGCTCCCGACCAAACTGACGGAGGCATCGATCCGGCAAGTGCCACTCCACGGTCTCAAAAAAAATTAGAGGGACCCTCGTGCACCATTGCCCGATATGCTCGGGGAATTGCTGGAGATACCAATGAACGATGTTCTCCGGGTATGGATTGAAGACGATCTACAAGAAAGAAATGAGTAACTTAAGATAGTAAGAATTGGAAAAAATACATGTAGTCCATGGAAAAAAGATATAAATGGATCGAAGTATAGAAGTTACCTCTCCTTCCCAAAGTCGCTCAAACCTCCTCCGATACTCGTCCAACTTGTGTTGCGCAAGTTGTGTGTCCGAGCCACCTTATTAATAAGACAATAATGAAACTACAATAAGCTAAAACACAAGGAAAAATGTGTTATGAAAAAACATGATGGGGTATGAGAAGTTTACCTTGTACCATAAGCTTCCCCTCTTAGGGGATGATCGATTGGCCAATCCCTATCGGGACGTTGTACCAGTGAAATCCATGGCATATGCTCCCAAGCTCAAAATTGGACGATGAACATTGCGCCACCGACCTCCCTCACAGCTTTTAGAGACGCATTGCACAAGTTGTGGTAGATATTAGCTAGGCAAGCGGATGCCCAGCTATACTCCCCCATCTCCTCCCAACTACCGAGGATGATCCTAAGCCATCCACAACTAAGGAGATTGCTTGATTTTTTGGAGAAGAACACTCCTCAGATCATGCCTATGAGATAGACCCGAGCATATCTCTCATTCTCATCCTCCGAACTTCCCTCGGTTAGGGGATGACTCTCGTAATGGTCTCTAAAATACTTCGTCAACCAAGTAATTGAGACTTGGTGTTTCCTCATTGGTGGCATGCGATCGGTCGCATCAACGCACCCCTTCACTGGTACTTTCACTCCCAAAACAATGTGGATGAAATGAACCCAACCGGGCATACCGTCACAATCCTCGGGGGATGATCACTCACGCACACCGGTTTGCCGTCGATGGGCAGATGGGTTAGGATGGCGACATCCTTTAGCGTGATGGTGGCCTCTCCTTCTCTAAAGTTGAAACAATGGGTCTCCTTTCTCCATCTCTCAACTAATGCGGTGATGAGTTGGCGATCAACTTTGATGCCGTTAAAATGCCTAATCGGGTCCAACCGTGCCCTTTTGAGAAAGGGCAAGATAGCTGGGTGGAATGGGAGCACATTGGTCGTACCCCTGTAGCGGATTATTGTTTGTGCCTCCTAAGGAAAATTTACACATTAATTATTATATATTAGTAAGAGTTTTTTTCCTTATAACTAAATTAATTAAATTAAATTATTTAACTTCAAGCAGAATTTTATTATCATAAAAAGATATTTCATATAATTAACATAATAACATTCTAAATTAATAATAATTTAAAGAAATACATACATATTATCATAAACAAACATCCTAAATTAACTAACATAATAACATTCTAAATGAATAATAATTTAAAGAGATACATACATATTATCGTAAAACAAACATACTAAATTAACTAAAATAAATGACATTGTTAATGAATAATAATTTAAAGAGAAACATATATATTCAAATGTTTGAAATTAATAAAATTCATTTTGTACACATCAAAATAAATCGTATTGGTTGTTTGGTAAATAATTTAATCGTATTGGTTGTTTTAAATAATTTAATCGAATACAAAGCAACACTCGTTAGACTCTTAGAAGAGGTATACATCTTCTTAGAAACGCAGTCTTTTTGACAGAAAAAGGGGGGATCCGAGGATCTCTTAATACCCGATTTTCCCAGGGAATGGGAGGATATGATAATCGCTTAAAACCCCATTTCCTTAGACGTGCATCTCTTTATAAAGAGTCGAAGTAAGTGGCGCTATGTATTCGATTAAATTATTGAAAACAACCAACACGATTAAAAATTCAACATAAATTTATTTTATATTCCACTAAATACATTAAAAAAATAAAAGAAGGACAAATGGTAAAGAATTGTATGTACCGGGTGAGCGTTCCAAACATCCCTTGACCGATGGTTGGGTTGGTGTCGTACAAGTCGGTTGGATCCAACGGTCCTTGCTCGAGATAATACTGTTGGTTGTATATATCCATGTCCTCCCCAACCTACGAGAAAATAACAACAAGGTTAGTACATAGATTAATTAAAAAGCTTATAACAACAACAAAAATTAACCAGAATAATGAGTACGTACCGCTTGAAATTCATCAACATAAACTTCCTCTCCTTTCCACCAATCGGCCATTTTTTCGGCAAATTCGGACAGAGATTCGGCTCGGCGGGTTTTGAGGACAAAACCTAAGAAATGTTTTCTTATGGCAGATCAGACTTAGCCGCAACCAACAGGCCACTATTTCCTAGGCTTTTGGGAGGGGTGGGTTTAGAGAGATAAATTCTAGAGAGAGAAGGAAGAATGGGTTGTGGTGTGAAGAAATGAGAGGGGAAAGGGGGGTATTTATACCCAACAGACCGCACCCTCCAGGGGCGGCCGGGTAATTTTTCCCAAAGAGAAACCGCGCCCTCCCGAGGCGGTTTGCGCTTCCCCAGCTTTGACCGCATCTCGGGGATGCGTTCCCCGATCCGTGGCGCGGATCACTCCGCTGGCGCGCGTTCAGCCCTCTGATCGCTCCTCCATCCAACGGTCTTGAAGACCGTTCCGCAGAATCTTGAAACCGCACACCTATGGTGCGTTTTATATGTAAATCGCACCTTACATGTGCGGTTTACTTATAAAACGCACCTTAGGGGTGCGTTCCAATAAAATTGGTGTTATTTCTGTCAATTTATTCGGATGGGTACTAGTTTTGTAATTTTTTTTAAAGGTGCTATTATTTGAAAAATCCCAAAACTAGTGGCTGACAATTTGATAAGGAACAATATGAATTAGATTCATAATTAAAGGGGTCTGCCTGTGTGTTTTGAGATCGAAACCTAATCGACACGTGTAATTAACACGTTGTTAATTACTAATTAGTGGCTTCTTTTCTTGCTTGACAATGAAACGAGCCCACCAAAATTCAGTTTCATAATTACCTTTGATCTCCACATAACTTCGTAGGACCCTCATAAAATCCTTGGAACACTACCTTCCAATGTGTAAAGTAGGTTTTCTGATTGTGCACAATTGAAAGGTTTCTTGATTTGGTTAGCTAAAGAAGCTTAATAATGACAAGATCCTACAGCAAAAGGAAGCTTAATAGTGGGATACATATCTATAATTATACTATAGTGAATTACTTTTATAGTACTCTCTTCTGTTCAGCTACTTTCAAAAATGTTTGACATTCTAATATCTCACATATAGAAAAATAGTGATTGTCAATTGGGTCGTTTACTTTCGTGTATTTAAAAAAAATAAAGTTTTGATAAAACTTGAATTTTGTAAAATCGTGTATATATGAGAGTTTTGGGTTCATTATGGATTTCAAAAATATAATTGTTTGTTTCATAGATTTCATGATAGAATAAGTTAATTATATTTGTATGTATAAAGTGAAAGTTATCCTTATTGTTCTATTGGTATGAGAAGAGAAAGAAAATAGGAGGGGTAGTTTGATCTTAAATAATGGATTTCAAAGTCCATGATCAATTTCCAACTAAAGAGGTGAAACTTTCAAGTCCGTGAAGTCCATGGATTTGGACCCTTAAAGTTCTTGGGATCCACGGATTTGTTGCTCCTAAATACATGAAGCAAACAATGGATTTTGAATAAAGTTCATGATGGATCCAAATCTATCACCCAATCCATCAAGCAAACAACCCCTTATTAGATGAGAGTTTCACTTGTACGTCATGTAAGATTTGAACAAATCCATACTGAGAAATAGCACCTGAAGTATCTCAACTTTTATATAAAAAAAATTAGCCAATAACATGGTTTCATATATGGAAAGCAAAATGGGATAAACCACTATTTTGATTGAGTAGGTCGGTTCATGGGTCAAGCCAGTTCAAGGGTTGGGTTAGGCTTGGCAAGATGATATGGCGAGTTTTAATGACGTGGCGGATGGGGTAAAATATTTAAGTGGTAGCCTATTTGTTTGAACTTGGGGTGCTGCAACTATTAGCAAACATATTATTCATTAGACTACAACTCATATGTTCTTGTATATTAAATCCACATATAATAGCAAAAAGCTATTCCTTATTCCCAATTATTTTCAAAAGCTAACAATTAAACCCTATTACGGGCTCCCTTTGTCTAGTAAGATATATCGATAGAGATTTGTAGAGCATTGTTAAACACCACATGTATTTTACAATTTTTTCATAATACAAAACACATCGTATGTTGTTGTAATTTGTACAAGTCAAATATTATCTTATCTAATAATTATCAAATATTATCTTATCTAATAATTATATCATTTAACTTTTAAAAGAGGACCCTGTGTAAATTTTTTGGTCCTCCGCTGACTCGTGTTCAACTTTGGGTTGGTCGACGTATAAAGATAACAATTTGGGCTAATACCACTACAACACCCAAACTATCCAGGAAATGCCACTTGTGTCCTATTATTTCCAATATTCCATATTTGTCCTGAACTATTATATTTTGTGTCATTTGTATCCTACCAATTGTGTTGACCGTTAAAGATAACAGTTGACCAAACGGCGGTCAACTTAACATTGACTTTTGCTTACGTGGCAATGCCAAGTCATTGACACCTCACATTTTTAATTTAAATTTAATAAAATTTTGAAAATAAAAAATTGAAAAACCTTTAAATTCAAGAATATTATTTTAACCTAAAATTAATATTAATTTTTTAACCTAATCCCTTCTCTTCTCTTCGCCTCCGCCTCCTCTTCTTTCGACTGCAAAATGTGCATCCTCAGCCACTGGAGCCACTGCTGCAAACAATGTTGCGCCACCGCCACCGGAGCCTCCTGAGGATAAGCGGATGGAAGAGCCGCCACCGGAGCCACTGCGGCAAACAATGTTCCACCAGCTCAACCATTGTTTGCAATCCCTAATTTCGAGTTTGGGGATCTGGACGGGATTGGCGTCCGGGAGAATTGCAACTCGCCGGGACCTGTAGCTGGAGAAAAGAGCTATGAATCCGTCACTAGATCCATCGCCCTTCCGTCGCGAGTCAGCCTCCTTTCCTCTTCGCTTCCGTCGTCACGGCAGCAGCAATCGACCACAACTTCGGAGAGCTTTGTTCCGAACCATTCACCCCATTCCAATCTCCAGCAAGAGCGGGGAAAACCTCCCGACACAGCGGCTCCACCAATGACCACCCACGCAAGATCAAACTCCCATCTATATGCCTTCCAAGATGAAGGTCCCAAACCGAATGCCGATTCACCTCTCTCTCCCTAAAAGATTTCCCAGATCGAAAAATCCCTTCCACCTTCCGTTCTTCTGGTTACACCACTACAGATCTAGATCTGTGTTTCATTTTCAACATCCACCAGGAAAATCTCCCAAATCACCTTAAACACCAGACAATGGATCTGAAGTCAGCTCGATCATAACCCGCCACCGCAAAATCGTCGACGATGAGCGTCGATAGATCCAGTTGAGTAAGAGGCGAAGGTGCCGCTCCAATCTACTTCCACTGCGAAGAAACCAGCAGCAACGAAGGCGCTCCAGCCCAGCTACTCCTCCTCCCCTTGCGTTCCTGACTCCGCCAGCTTCTCTGTGTCTTCCTCCACCTCCATTCCATTGAAACATGGGAATCGTGCAGGAGAGGAGAGACAGACCTGTGGAGAGAGAAAGGGCTAGAGAAGCAGGGTCGTCGATGGGGGTTCATCGGAGATCAAAGGAAAAGGACGGTCGGAGATGAGGCGACGAACGACGGATCAGATGCAATTGATTGAAGTTTTGGTGAGAAGGTGCGGATTTTTCTTCGGAAGTTGGAGAGAAAGAAAGTGAATTGATTTGAGTTATTGTTTTATTTTTGTAATTTTGGATAATTTTTATTTTGTTTTCCTTATTTTAATTATTTTAGATTGAAAAATAAATGAAAATTGATAATGAAATTTCCAAGTCAGACGCCACGTCAACGCTGACTGGATTTTCTGTTAAATACTAACGGTCAACGCCGGTCAACACTAACGGAATAATAGTTCAGGACACAGATGGAATATTGGAAACAATAGGACACAAGTGGCATTTTCCGGATAGTTCGGCTGTTGTAGTGGTATTAGCCCTAACGATTTTTACCAATTTAATTGCCAAAATATCATGGTAAAGGAAACCGTACCGGAGGTCATACCGGATCCGTCAGCGGTAGGGTATTTTGTGGTACGACCGTGATTTAACCGTTGTGTACCGGTAAAATACCGTGTTTGTAATTAAATAATATTTTTTTGTTAAAAAATCGTACCGGCAGATTCATGATACCGTTTCGGAGTAATACCGGAATAAAACTGGAATATACCGGATAACAATCTTGAATAAACTAAATAGGCATATGTAAAAGGAAGAACATTGGAAAAAAAAACTCAACATTATAATTAAAAATTAGTCAAAACATTCAAAACAATGAATCATACATGCCGTGTTGTTGTCTTGAGCTGTTGAGCAGTCAGTCTCCTTACTCGGCTACTCCTAGGCGGCACGTTCTTCTTGAGCAGGGGAGGGAGAGGCGTGCCGGCAGAGCAGTGGTGGAGCGCGGAGCAGCGCAAAGAAACCACGGAGCGCGGAGCAGCGGCGGTCCTGGTCGCCGGTCGAGAAGAGGAGAGACGCGGTTGCGGAGCGCGGAGCAGCGGCGGTCCTGGTCTCCGGTCGGCGGTCGAGAAGAGGAGGAGAGACGCCGCGGTCTTGGTCGCCAGCAGCTGGAAACAGAGAAACGAAGACTGTGCTACTCTTTTTCGTTTGGCTAATGATTTAGGGTTTTGATCATTGGCCTTCGGCCGATCTCTCTTTTTTTTTTAATGCCAAAACGACGCCGTTTCCTTCCCATAAGCTTACCCCCGGTTAGACCGAAACCGGGCGGTATTTCGTATTGTGCCGGTTTAATCAGGAAAACTGGCCGTCACGATTTTTAACCAGGAAACGACTACCGTATCGGCCAGGCCCCGATTTCCGGTTTTACCGGTTCAACCGGCCGGTACGATCCGGTTTCCTTTACCATGCAAAATATGTGAAATGCGATAAAGAGAAGAATGATGGTTTATTTATTCAAAAGATTTACGGGTTAATTGTATGTTTGGTCACTTAGATTATAAAAAATATTTAAATTTGGTCACTAAAAATATTTAAATCCATTGGTGATAGTTCAGTTTACTGAAATCGTTCACGTTTGGTCACTCTCCGTCCAACTCCGTTAACTTTGGCTGATGTGGCAGTCAACTCTCAAAGTTGACCGTTAACTTAATGACATGACAATTAAGAAATAGTAAGTAAAATAAAATAATCTATTTTAATGTCCAACTCATTTTTACCATAAAATAAATAAAAAATAATAAATAATTATTATAATTATCACCTGAATCCCACCAATTGGGGCATCAGCCAATTGGGGGTTTTTCCAGATCGTGAACCATGGCATCCCATTGACCACCCTCGACGAAATGAAATCAGGGGTCCGCAGGTTCCACGAGCAAGACGCGGAACAGAGGAAGCAATTCTACACCCGCAATTTCAGCAGCAGGATCGTGTACAATAGCAACTTCGATCTCTACACCGGACCGTCTGCCAACTGGAGGGATACAATCTCTTTCAACATGGCTCCCGACCCACTCAAGCCCGAGCAGTTGCCGACCGTGTGCGGGGAAATAGTGGCAGATACTCTGAGGAAATGGTGAAATTGGGGGATTTGCTGTTCGAATTGATGTCGGCGGCTCTAGCCTTTGGGTCAGTGTTCCAATTACTTAAAGAATTTGGATTGCGGGAGAGGGATTCAGGTGGTTTGCCATTACTCATTTTTAATCTCCACCACCACCTCCTCCTACGAGTCGGCCGCCGCCGCAACCCCAAGAGCGTCCTCCCGCGGTCCTCCTCCGAGCTCTCACCTACCTCGACCTGCAGCACACTTTCTGGATAATCGACCGAGACAAAGACAACATCCTTTTGAAGGAGGATCTGGCGGTCGGATGGGGAGCTCCGACGAGAAGGTGGGCAAGGGGGACGACGGCAGGCCTCGTCGCGAATGTTCTCATCGGCCGGGTACCGGGACTTTACAGAGTTAGAGGAAGGGGCGGGGTCGAGGGTGTAGGAGGTACATGTGATTACAGCCGGGGAGCGGCGGGGACGGCGACAGGGACAGGGAGCGGAGCTAAAGATGCGGATTTGGAGCTGACTTGGTTAAGGGGAAGGAGGATCTGACGCCGCCGCTAGGCTGGCTTGGGAGCTCCGACGAGGAGGAAGCGCCCCATTCAATTTGATAATTACAATAATTTTTTATTTTATTTATTTATATTATGGTAAAAATGAGTTGAACATTAAAATAGATTAAATTTTACTTTATTTATTATTTTTTAATTGCCACGTCACTAAGTTAACAGTTAACAGTTAACTTTGAAAGTTGAATGCCATATCAGCCAAAGTTAACGGAGTTTGACGGAGAGTGACCAAACGTGAACGATTTTAGTAATCTGAAATACAACCAATGAATTTAAATATTTGAGTGACCAAACTTGAACGTTTTTTGTAATCTCAGTAAGTAACCATGCAATTAACCCAAAGATTTACATTGCATAAAGCAATAAACTTCAAGAACAGAATAAGATAAAGGATAAGCTAACGCTTAAAATATAGCCTAGCTAGTAATTTGAGAAATGGTGCAGTACTATGTTGTAAAATTCCCCCTATGGTATGATGAATAGACAAGTTTATTAACAAGAATAAAGTGATAAAGGGGTAAAAACTAAAAATATTGGAAAAGGAAGATATATTGAAAAAGAAAAGGCCAGTTTTTTGCCCTGCTTTATCGGGAAAGTACCTCGAAGAACGAAAATTTTGTACTAGCTAAAATATAAGCTCATTATATCTTTTTTTTGTTATAAGAATAATATGTTATTTAACTATAATTTGTATAAAAATGTTTTTTTAATGTTTTTATATAAAAATACTACTTTAGTTTAGAAACATTATCAAACATGTACTTTTGTTAAAATTTCTACATAAAACTATTAATCATGATTCAACAATTGCTTGAACGATACACATTTTAAAATATTTCTAATAATTTTGCTTTAATAATTTTTGGTTTATTTTTTTGTGTAAAGATTTTTCGGTTTTTTTTTGTATAGCCTAATTATTTTTAAATATATTTATATTTATTATATATATAAAAAAATTCATGAAATTATGTTATTTTAAACTAATTTTCTTTATCATAATAATTTACTATTCTACTTTTTAGCATGTTGGTTGGAGTTATAAAGAGAATTATTATCCATGGGTTACCATGTATACTTGAAACTCGATCGGATATGAACATGATTTTCATTTTTTACTCGATTCTTTTACGAATATGAATTTGAGTATAATGAAAATTATTTTTGATAGAGTATAGACATTCACTATTCACTTCTAATTCGATACATTGCCGTTCCTGAGTTTAATTCCGCACTAAAAATGTCTCAGTACGAAAGTTGATTGGAACAAATTAAAAACCATTAAACATGCATTTCTTTTTGTTCAAGATATATCTAGAAAGCTCTGTTTGCTTTTCTGCCTGTCCTTTTTGCTATATTCTCATCTTAACCACTAGTAAGTAAGGTACAAGCTGCGCTTTGACATTCCATTAGCTTCCTAATTGATAAAAAAGGGTCTCACTCCCCCGTAAATATTCTTATTCTTCATTGATGTGCTATTGTGCTATGTGTGTTCGTTTCTGCAGAGGGCAGGGGCGGAACCGGTATTTCGAGACCGGGGTCCTAGAATAATTAAACAAAATGTATGTTGTTAAGATGGATCAAGTCATTAAATTCATGTGCTTTGAAATTTAAGTTAGACGTAACTACTATTAGATCACATGACTAATACACAATAAGATTTACAGAACAAGTCTATTTATACAATTTGTACTAAATATCCTTACAATCTTAAGGGCCGGGACCAATTCGGGGGCCGAGGCCCACCTTATGTTACATGTAGCTCCTCTCGTAGCAGAGGGTCGTGGATAAAAATGAAAAGGTAATAGCTATAGCTTTCAAGTACTGAATTTGAACTAAGCATTATCACACTCATTCTCAAAGGCTGATTTTGTGAATGATATAAATTAGCATTCCTCTATGATATATAGAGGTATTTAAGGAGATTTTGAGCATTTCAAATTCCTTGCACTCTCTTTAGGTGTAGTTAGGGGTAAATTTGTAAGTTCAACTTAGAACTTAAATATCTTCTTACGAGAAAAAAATATCATTACAAAGACTGAACTCGAGTCCTTAAGATTGATAGTCAATATCCCTAACCAACTGGATTACAGCAATGTTTATGTATTTTTTGAATTAAAGAGAGAAAATACAGCAATGGTATGTGTATATACATTGGAAATTATATGGTACGCTCGATGGATTGAGGGTTATTGCATCTTCTTAGTTAAATAACATTATCTAGACCATAGATTAATCACGTAACTAAACCCTATATCATAATTCTCTAAATCCTAATATAGTGCATATGGTATGTTGTATACATCTTGACGAATCAGAATCATTGATTATTTTCTTAGTATATGTGATATTAGAGTTTAAATTCTATAAATTTAGGATATATGATTTAATTATTTGAAACTTAATCTCCCTTTTCAAATTTCCTACAATGAGAGGGAAATTAGGAAGAACAGTTTTGTCTTCACAATTATCTGTATTTTTTATTTATTTACACAAAAAGATAGACAATTGAGATTTGAACCATGGTTACTTCAAACAAAGTGAAGGTTTAAAATCAATCAAACTATGTAGATTTGTTGTATTTTTTTTAATTAAAAATATATACGAAGCTAAAATATGAAATCACAGAACTTTTCAACAGTTAGCTAGCCCAATAAATATTTCGTAAGTACTTATTTGGTGTTTTGATACTTCGATTTTGATATTTTTTTATTTTAATTATTGTTTAATACTTAATTTAAAATTTTATCTATCTTATAAATATAGTGAGGCAATCATTTCTTTGTGCAAACTATAGGGGACTGATTCTCTAAACATTTTTGTCCAGTTAAATACTAAGTTTTGCAACCAAAATATTGTTGGTTCGAATATTTCATATCCAATTATAGTATTGAATATGTAGAAGCGATATAGAATTCTTAAATTACCATTAATTTCCAGAAATATAGTGAGACAATCATTTCTTTGTGCAAACTATAGGGGACTGGTTCTCATAACATTTTTGTCCAGTTAAATACTAAGTTTTGAAACTCTTCCTAGGAGTGTACGTGGGTCGGTTCGTTTGGGTTTAGATATTTTAATCACCTAACTTATATACCACGATTTTGAAAACACTAAATACAAACTCACCCAAATCATTTAGAATTTTAATGGTTTGTGTCCTCTATACCAAATGAACCAATTTACATATCGCTTAACTAAGGATGATCTCATTGTCCAATCCCATCATTCTAATGTCAATCCATAAAAGTAACCCATATTCGCGTTTGTTAACACATGTTTCACATTGTCATTACTGTGACCGGTAACTTTGCTGCAACTGATTCGGTATTGCTCATCATATGGCCTCCAAACTGATAAACATATCGGCCCAGCAGTTTTATGACAAAACTCAAAATGAAGATAACTCATCGTCTGGTGGAATTTTGGCGCTTGCTGGTGTCCATTAATCTAATTGCAAGCATAATGATTGCTAAAATTAAGCTTTAACGCAGCACACTGAGAGTTGGGGTGTGAACTTGGAGTAAAAGTTGATATTGGGTTTGGGAAGGGAAGTGGTGAGAGGAAGAAATTGTGTTTGGATTTGGTAGTCGGTAAAGTTCATGGTTCAGTTTCTTTTCATAAAATGCTTTGATTTATTTTAGTTAGAGGTATAATCATGGTTATGTGGGATCAAATGAACCAAAAATGAGCTTGGGGGATGGGAATTCCAACTTAGAAGGAGTGAATTAGATTTTGATAAACTCAAGTTCATGATTAACTGAAAGAATATTTAGATTTAGACTTTGTGGTATTGAGGTGTTCATAGAGAGTTTAAAACTGATCCAAGGTCATTGGTTAGTTGATTGTGATTTTGAGGAAGGTGTATAAAAAGTCATGGAAGTAGTTTGTAGCAAGTGAAGAGGAAGTTGGTCAGGGTAGTGATTGAACCAAGGAGGGTATTGAAAGACATAGAAGCAAAATAGAAGCAGTTGAAGAGAGAGAAGTGGTAAGATGATCAGGATATTAATGAAAATGGAGAGGGTATTGAAGGGCATGGAAGTGAGCTGGATCATTTGAAGACAGAGAAGGAGAAGAAGAGCATATTGATGGAATTGAAGATGAGTGTTGGTTTATGAGCTTATTAAAACCGCCCTGAGGAAAATGATTTGGCCAAATACAAGAAAGAGGATTGAGGAGTTGGAGATCAAGCTGACAAGAAACTCAATTGAAAAAGAAATTCAGGTTCATGGAGAGAAGGTCCATCAAAGTAGCATAAATGGAGTTGCAGAAGGAGGATTAGAAATTGAATTTTGGTTTAAAACATATACGTGGAGAGATTGAAAATGGAGGGGATAAAAAGTTTGTTGTACAACGGAGAGTGGAAACTATTGGATCTTTAGGTGTTATGGTTGTTGCAACTACCACAACCTATGTTTATGTTACGAGGAATCATTGATTGATTTACTAAAATTAAGGTCGATTCACTATTCAAACTACTGAAACCTGTAGATAAGGAGTGTCTAATTTTGTGCCTCATTACTTTGATCGAATCTATTAGTATATTGGATGTAACTCTAATTTTGTCATTTGCTCTCAAGTTTTGATGGTCTCCTTTTAGTTGAGTTGTTAGCATATGATTTACTTGAATCAACAACTCTTCATTTCTGTTTTTTTTAATCCATTTCTTTTTTATTATTGGCATGTTATTCATAGAGGAGAGTTTTGAACCATTTATGTGGGATTGTGAGCTTTCATTTCAGTTTCAAACTATCTATTGATCGTGTGAGAATTCCAATGAACTTTTATATTATATATTTCTGGACAATCTATTAACCAATATCATTTTAATGGGGCTCAATTATCATTATGAAAATGAGATTAAAGATACATTTTTATATTCTTAAATGAGGAGGGTATTTCTCTCAATGTTCAACCTATATATTCATTCTTTATGTAGCATCTCAATTGAATGATTTTCAAAATACTTAAACGAATTAATAAACTTAAACATAAAATAAAAATATAAATATTAAAATATGAACATTCCGACAAACGGATCGGGTTATAAGCTAGTGTTGGAGATATATTCGCACAACAATCTGCATGTGTAATTCTTCTCCATTCGCGCATAATTTGTGTTTTTATTGTGATTTTCTTTATTTGTCGAGGATTTAAGAGAGTTGTCAGTACATTGGTAAAAAAAAAATATTTCATTGATAGTTCGATTGCAACTAACTACCGAGAGTCGTTGGCCTTGTAATTTGGTTGTTTTTGTTTGTGTTTTCTTGACATATCTTGGAAGAAAAAACAAGAGCTCAATTAGTATGTTAGAGGATGACTTGTCCCACGTAAGCAAGAAGGGAAGAATTTGTTGGTGATGGTTGTAACGGGAAGGAAACTGACAAAGACGAGAGAGATTCTAATAATAATAAAATAAATTATACATGTTAGACGAAGTTGTACATGGTAAGACAAAAGAAGATGTACTTAAAATTTTGATTTGCGATAGGCGAATGAAGGTAATGTACATGCAAGCAACATTCATCTAAAGCGAATAACAGGGTCCTATAAATAAATAAAAAGAGCGAATAACAAGGTATTTACCGGAGAGCGTTTAGTAATCACCGTGGTTACTAAGGATAAATTGGGTATAAAAAATAAATTATATTAATTATTTAATTTTAATAAATTACATTTTAGGTAGTTACAAAAATCTATTAATTACAATTTTTTCTCTTTCTCTCACTTCCGTAATCTCCAGCCAGATCTCCTTTCCATATTTTTCTCAATCTTTCTGCAAAAGAAAAAACACAAAATCACTACCAATCCATTAGACAACTACTACCATTTTGAAAACATCAATACCATTGCAGAAATAAATCTATACCATTACAGAGAAACTACCAATATAAACAATCTATATCATTACAAAAGTCAAACAAATACCAAAACAACCTATACCACTACTACTGTGAAATCAAAACAATACCATTGCATAAATAAATCAATACAAACGCTACTATAATAAATACAGAGAAACTACCAAAGCATAATGCAAACACTACCAAACCAAATGCAGATAACTACCAAAATATAATGCTCCATCTAACCAACACAAATGCAGGTAACTACCGAAGCGTAATGCACACACTACCAAAGCATAATGCAAACAGTACCAAAATAAAATGCAAGATAGCTACCAAAGCAAATCATCTACCAATGCAAACACTACCATTCTAGATTACCTGCAAAAAAATAAATACGTACCTCTGTGCATTTCCCCAAGAGACAAAGACTTGGTAGTTGGGCTTTTACAGAATGACCGGCGGCAGAAGAGGTTCACCGTGTGGGAAGTTAAGTGGGGGGACCGGCGTCCAGGGTGGCCTCCGCCTCATGCCGGCTGATGAGGCCCGTCGCCCAGATGAGAGAGAGAGAGGCGTGTGTGGACCGGAGGTGAGAGGGGAGCGGCGGTTGAGAGAGGATGGGACTAGGGTTTAGGCGACGGACGGGATTTGGGTAGATTATATAGAATAATCGGGTGTGGTCACTTTTCATTTCCATAATTACCCTAAAAGAATTTTGACCGTAAGATTAAAAAAGAAGGGAAAATGTGAAATCTAATGGTATATAAAGAGGTTGCCACCGTGATTACTAAAAAACAAGTAATCACCCTAACCCATTCCGTATTTACCGCGCGTTTATGTTGTATCCATGTGTAACAGATCAATGATTGTTGTGGACGGTAGATAACTTGATAACATCTAGAAGAGTTAAAGAGAATAGTTGTGCCTTCTTACCAAAAGACGAAAGAAGAACAGTGCACAGAAACCCTGAAGAGAACAGTTATGATGTTCCCCATGATCTCCAAATCTTTGTGTTACTTATATCTCCTTTGTACTTCATCTCTAGCTAGTGGTGAAGAGACAAGGAAGAAAACATGACAAGTTAGCATATTCTTTGTCCTTCATTTACTGACAAACTCCCCCCATTTTATCAGGAACCTGATTCCCTTCCACAACATATCCGCACAATACTACCAAACCATATATATGCCAAACAAAAAAAAAAAAAAACTAACTACTTATGAGAAAAGGAGGGAAAAGGACAACTTCTTGCTCAAGTTGAGCCTCCATCGGCTTTGATGCCCTAATACAATATCCCTCTCAACTCTAAGAGCCGGGAAAAAAAACTCACTCTGAAACTTAAGATACCAGTATTTACAGTTATTAACTTGAAATTTCAATCCAACTCGTGCATCTTGTGATAGTTCAATCCTACCGGTGTATGTTCATCATATGAAGGATGAAATTCAGTGTAAGGGTGTACAACTACAACACACTGGTCCATTCCAGTATTGGACAATCTCGATCGAATGGATTGGTAGTTAGAATCGGACAATAAGTACATTCAACTAAGTTTGATCCATAAAATTTATAAACTTAATCATTGCACATTCCTATTTGAGTTTATTTTCCGGAGTCATAAAGAGTGTAATGATGCAAACACATTCAAACAAACTCTGCTTTGCTTCTCCTTATCGTTTCGTTATCAGAAATACCAAGGAAAGGCAGAACAAAGCAATGATATCAATTATTTACGAGACTAGCTAGGAGAGATTTGGAAAGGGTAACTAACCAACTAACTAGGGTTCTCTTGAGAATTGGGAAGACATAACAAAATGGGCATCGAGCCACATGCCTAGTTTAGTTAATTCAGGCAAATTTGGAGCAGTTATGAGAAAAGGATAGTGGGTAGCATGATGCACATTTTGATCAACATCTCATATATGATATTTTTGGAAGGTAATGGCAACCCTTTTCCCCCAAAAGAAATGGGACTTCCATTACTTTGTTTGATCAACCCTTTCCCCGTTAGAGGTAAAGAATATTTGGAACAAAGTCCTGAAGATCAGAGGGTTAGTGGCTGATAAATTCCAGGTTACAGCACAGGGAGTTAAATGGCAGAGGAAACCTATGCACAAGTATACATCGGGCAAAGAGCAGAGTTTCTTTTTCGGATATGAACTCATCTGAAAATGCATCGCACCATAACGGGGAAAACCTATACGGAAAAGATAGAGAGATCTGTTGAGCCAAGGATTGTTCCACAGTGACGGACTCCCGCCGGCCGCGAATAAGCCTTCTCAAAGTTAACACAGATGCTGGCTGGCTCTAAGGATGAGGTAGGTACTGGTTTGGAAATGGTGGTGGTGGTGTTGTTTTGAAGGCAGTTTTGAATACCCAGCTGCCTATTGAGAGGAAAAAATTTGGAACTGTGGCTGTTCGCGATCAAATCCAAAGGCTTGTCATTCGAGAACATAAAGTTTTCTGATATGGCGACAAACTACAACTTAAACCAGGGGCCAACAAAGCCAAGACTGCTAGGGATGGAATCACAAACGTCGACAAGGTAATGCAAATAGGTAAAATGAGCAAACAGTAGCTCACACTACACTTCGTGCAAAATATAGAAAGTGGATCAAACTGCAACGAAACCAATCGAGGGATTTGCACATGATATGGGAGGACGTAAACAAGTGAGTACCAAGTTTCATCCACAAGCAATTAGTCAAATGAAACAGCAACTTTCATATGTCGAATGAAACATCAACCCATCGAAGCAGAATCCACAAAATTGCAACAAAAGAGTACATCATCCATTACAGACACTTCCGCTCGATCAACAAGATAATGGTGGTTCTCAAATCGCGACTAAAATCATTGGCGCAGTTCGGCCTTCTTCTTCTGCCACAGCCTGTCCAGGGCACTGTCTCCATCACCCTGAAAAAGCGCCAAGCAGAAGCAAAAGATCAACAATACAATCCAACCAGAGTCCGTTCAAGAGAACCAAAATTACAGCAGAACATACCAAAACTAACTACTACGTCAAGCAAGGCCCAGAATAGGAGTTCAAAGTTTCTAACCGACATAACGAAGCGATGAAATATTCAGTAAAGCAGGTCATTCCCACAAAAAATTGCACAATCCGGAGACATTCATTCAATCAGTGGAATGCAAGGACCACATAAAGTGCTATATTGAGAGTTGCTCATGTCTCAGCTTTTTTCTTTCATCAATCAAACCCCAATAACAAAACTCTATGAATTGACTTCAACCAACTGGAATCGGCAATTCCATTGTCACAAATCTTCGTAATAAGCTACTTTCCAAAGTTAGGAACAGTTAACAGTACTACCTAGCAGTCTAGCAAGCAAACAAGCAAGCATTACCAATGAAGAGCCAGAATACCTGAGCTCGCACGAAGCCACAGAGAGCATAAGTGGTGAACTGGCCGGTGTAACGGCCGTTGGCATCCAAATGACCAACGTTGACCTGGACGGAGGCGTGATCCTTGGAGGTAATCAGCCTGTTGGTGGCAGAGCTGCAAAACAAAGCAAACCATAAACTTAAGCTACTAGTTCTTCCGGAGAAAAAAACCCATGACGAAAAGTCTTAAGCTAGGTTGTTTCCATCACTCACCATTTCCTTGGGATGTAGAGATCGATGTCCTGACCTTCTTCGTTCTGCATCTTGGCTGATTGATCGGGAAACTGCCGGGAACAGCAAATTTCAGCTCCAAATTGCCTGATTCGGAGAAAACAACCAGAAATCAGAACGACGGAATTGAATTCCCTATACGGAAATGATAGAAGAAACGATTCAGGATTCACAGCAGACGGAGAGAAGAAGAAGAATCGATGATTACCGTTCGAGAGTCGAGAGAGAAACTGCGGTAGGGTTTTGAGATTAGAGGCAGAAAATTGCTATATATCTCTTCCGCCAGAAAACCCTAAGCCGACAAGTCTTGAACTGATGAATGGGGCTTCCTATTGGGCTTTTCTATACTTGGGCTCATAAAGTTAGTTCAGGCTTTCAGCGCCAGTCAAAAGATATGTGATTATCCATCAACATGCAAAATACACTTTAATTTCACATTCATAATTATCCACTTTGTAACAATAATGAGAGGCATCACTATTAGCAAACTATGAAGCAGTTGTCTTCGTTGCACGTGAAGTCTTCCACGTGTATGACTCCGATGATTCCATGGCTTCAGATGACGAATACCACAAAGCTAGGGCTAATTTACAAGAATATGGAAAGACCAGAAGAAGAAAGGTAAAGACAAGGGTGTATGTTGATGGGGAAGATGTAGAACAACTTAAGAAATTCTAAGAAGAGGATTCTGACAATGAAGAGGGTGAATGAGAAGAGGTTGTAAATGGTTATGAGACATCACACCACTCCATTTCCCTCTAGAATCCACAACCATATCAGCATGTTGGTGGAGAGAGCTCACAACATTCGAGTTACAAATTCTATGAAGACTAGGACCATGTATGAGACAACTAGTCAGAGGAGAAAGGTGATTACTATTTGATGATGCACCACAATACGGTCCTACATGTGATCACAAGACAAAGGTGATTACTATTTGATGATGCACCACAATACGGTCCTACATGTGATCACAAGACACTACAATTTGCATGTCGAATGAATTTTGAGGATCCATAGTAGTTCAAGGATGTTGTTGTGAGGCACGCTATAGCAGCTGGGGCAAGCACGAGATGGGCAAGGAGCAACTCTACAAGGAAGGTGGTGAAGTGCAAGGATGTTAAATGCAAGTGGAGAATAAGTGCTTCATGGTTAGGAACATGGGCGGAGCTACAGCAGGCTTTGGGGCCCCCCGAGAATCTCGAAAGTCTCGTATATATGGATCGGAATATTACGTATAAACTCAGAATATTATATAGATATTAAAAAGTACAAAATAACAACAAGAAAATTGACTTAGTGCAGCGGTAGACTTCTTGTACATTGATAATTGAGGCCTTGGTTCGATACGCATCAGCTCTCCCTTACCTTTTCCTCTTAATTAATGCATGCCTTCAGTCTTTCGGTCTTTCCCATTCCCTTTTAATTAATGTCGTTCTCCTCTTAATTAATGCATGCCTTCAGTCTTTCCCATTCCCTTTTAATTAATGCCGTTCGCAATTAAAGTTTAAATCAAACACTTTATTTCCAAATTTTTAAGTTTTCAAGTTACTTTCGGATATATAATGAACATTTTTTTCTAAGTACTAATATTGGTAGATATTCGTTTTTCTGCAATCAGAATGTGCTATACAATTGAAATGCATTATTAATTTTTATTTATAGTTAATTTAGTGTTAATACATTTTGTGTCCTTGTAATAAAATTAGCATTTTAAGATATTTAATGAAATTTTTTCTAAGTACTAATATTGGTAGATATTCGTTTTTATGCAAACAGAATGTGCCATACAATTGAAATGGATTATTAATTTTTATTTATAGTTAATTTAGTGTTAATACATTTTTGTGTCCTTGTAATAAAATTAGCATTTTAAGATATTTTGATTCTTAGTATTTTTTTTATCATTTTACTGTAACATATTAAGAAAATCCCCCCCCCCCCCCCCAATGCTAAATCCTAGCTCCGCCCCTGGAAGGTTGCTTGCCACATTTTTGTAAGAAGCCTTATAGTTAACCAATTAACTGGCAAGTGAATAACATCAGACATGCTTGAGAGGTTCAAAATTAATCCAAGTGTGCTCCATACCAGGCTATGGTCGAGGTGAAACTAAACCACAATATGGAGGTGAAGAAGATGACTTGCCACAGAGCAAAAGTGGTGGCTATTAAGTTGCTAAGTGAGTCATTGGTTAATGAGTACAAGAAACTAATAAATTATTTTGTTGAGTTGACGAAAAGAGATCGAGAAGGACATTTCATTTTGGAAGTAGAACTGCATCTAGATGGCGATAAGTGTTTTTTCCGACTATTGTATATTGGCTTCTTAAACTTTAAGGATTGTCTCTTCAAGAGTTGTCGACCTATGTTTTTGGTTCTAACGGCTATTTCCTGAAGATGAGGTGAAGTGGATGCTTCTTTCGTGCCTCTTATTCATACTCATTGATTTCCACCCACCTAAAAAAATTGTAGGTTTTTTATTCCTGCAACTAGATTATCCTCAACCATCTAAAATTTACATCTAATCAATGGGTCATTCAAAATGAGAAATTGCTTACCTTTTAGAAAGGACAACCATAAAATTGACTGTCTGGGTTTGTCTCAGTCCCATTAGTTCTTACCACATCTGGGACTTTGTGCTTGCAAATGACAACACCTCACTTTTGATACTCATCGAACCCGAATCGATGCCATAACCATCCATGTTCCTAAAAGCAGCCCTCGGTGACATGAGTCGGCTAGGAGATTGATAATTGTCGAAAACATATTGATATTATGTGCTTAATGTGATTATTTTATAATATGTTTCAGACATGTAATGCTCGTTCTAAGGCCAACTGACTCTGGAATGGTTATAAGACCATTACCGCCATATGTTAGTATTGTGATATGCGAAAGGTGGAAAAGCAAAAGAAAATTGAAGCATATGCATATGACAAAGAGCATAATCAAAACAGCAGTGGAAGCACGCTAAAAGGCCATGGTTTCCACGTCATTAATTTCTCCGCCCAAAAGGAGAACCCGAGAAGGAACTTAGGGATGTGGGCTCTTTATCCCATTAGTTGTACGAGAATTGGAGCTGGGAATTAGTGGACCGGCCAGGGGAATTACACAGACCAAGTCCGTTGTCTTTTAGTGGGGAGTTAAGCCTGGGCGGAATTAATTGGAGAGGGAATTGCTTTGGAGAGGGGTTTTTTGGGGGGTCATTCTTGGGATTAAGAGTGCCCAAGTTCTTTGTCCAGGAGCGGAGGATTATTGGGAACAGAACTTCTTTGGAGAACACCAGCAGTGTAGCGACGAGAGAGGTGAGAGGAGCATCACGACTCAGAGACGAAGGATATGCGCAGCGATTGGAGCAGATCACTATTACTGTGGATCGGAAGAGAGAATAAGATTTTGTGCTTCTATTCGTATCAGTATTTTCTCTCTTTTTCGTTACTAGTTTTATGATGAACTTTTGATTTTGTTATGAACTAAACTCTAATTTATGGAGGAAACGCTATAGGAGCAAACACTTGATGGATTGATTCATATTTCTTTTCTTCTGATCTTTAATGCATGAAATTGCTTAATGCTTTGTGTTGACTGGCCACCAATACAACGATTCATAGTTAATTAGGTTATTACCGATGGTGAAACCCTAACAACTGAACTTATTTCATGTGACATAGTAACTTATCGAAGCGACAGTGAATTATTCTCCGTAGTAAGGGGGTTGGTACTGGAACCCGAATCCATAGTCTTCTCCTCCTTGATTTCTCCAGGAAATCTCGGGGTAATACCACTCAGATGGTGGTGGATACCCCCACTAGTTCGAGAAGCCATTAGGATCCATGATTCAGATCTGCACCAACAAAAACAAAAACACCCAAGTGAAAAGCAAGGGTGAAAAAAAAATGCTAAAGTAACAAACTTCTGCCTTTACTAATAATCTAGAAACTCCCCGGCAATGACGCCAAAAACTTGACACGCTACGACACAACACCTAACAATGGCCAAGTGTAACCAATGAAAGGGACTGCAGTATAGTGGCACAAGTAATAAATATCGAATCCACGGGTCTCTAGAGTTACTATTACTCAGCTTCAGTTCATTATCTAGCAAACTAGATTAAAGATTGATTTACTAAACTACTCTACTAATTACAAGTTGGGAACTCACTTAGGTATGATTCCCCCTAGCTCCTCAATTAGGTCCAAGTTGCAATTACCTTTGGTTGATCTACTGTTGATTAAACTGTGTAAGATCCTAAATTAGCTTGGAATCTCTTAAGCTGACCAAGCCCTCTTAGACAGAATACCCGGCAGGCGACTAGCCTTCACCGGGATAGACTGCTAAGGCGATTCACACAGATCTCCACTACTGGAATGAATTCCAGTACAAAGCAGTGAATTGATTGACTCTCGCACAACCAATTCACTACTATCAATCAAGGAAACTCACTTAACCTAATCAGATTCTATCTATCATAGGTTAAAGAAGAAATCAAGAGAATCTGATTAAGATTCAATTGACTCAATAAATCATGCCTCAATCGATTATAATCAAACAATATAGCATCCAAAACTTCATACAAGAAAGATCCTAACACATGGAACTAGGGTTCCTCAAAACCTAAGTGAAGGGAAGTTACTCCATAGAGAAGAGAGAGACTGCAGAAATCTGATCTAGATCTTTAATCTCCATCTCCAAGCTTGATTCCCGAGCTCCAATGGTGAAGAAATCCTCCAAAATAGCTCCAAGAATGTTCCCAAGTCGCTCTCTCTCTCTCTAGGGTTCGTCCCTTGGGTGTTTGGGAACCAAAACCCAGCTCTTCCTTTCCTTTGGCGTGAATCTGCCTCAAAAAACCCGATTCTGGGCAAAACACGGTCGAGGACACGTTCGTGTTTTACTTTTGCCCGACCGTGTTTTGCCCCCCAGCAGCCCTTACGACACGCCCTCGGCAGTATAAACACTAGCGGGTGCCAGATAAAACACTACCGTATTTTTAAGGTAGTCTGCCCGTGTTTTTACTGCTGAACATGTTCCGCTATATTCAATGCTTCGTTTCTCCCTTGTCGGACTCCGAATCAGTCGCCGTTTGATCCCAGACGCTCGTAGTCTCGTCCTCTTTCTTTTCATGACAAGCTTGCATGATTATTTTTCCATAAAGTGAGGTAGAAATCCATTCTTCTTCAGGTCATGCCCGAGTTTCTTCTCCCGAATCGTCAATTGATCTCTGATTGACTTAAAACTTGCGCCTATGGTTCACTTTATGTGCTAGGACCTGAAATGTGACAAAGGAACACAAACTAGCGTAAAATAGGCCAAATTTA